TGGTATAGAAAATGAGATCTTGCCATTTGCAACAACATGAGTATACCCGAAAGACATTATATTAAGTGGAATAAACCACACACAGAAAGACAAATACTGCATGATCTCACTTATATGTAGAATCTAAAAACGTCAAATTCATAGACACAGAGAGAACAATGGTTAATAAGTCAGAAAGCTTGTGGAAATAGGAAGGTGTGGGTCATAGTGTACAAAGATGAAGTTGTTTAGGATGAGTAAGTTCCAGAAATCTAATGGGTAACAGGTGACTAGTTAATAATACTGTGCTGTGTACTAGGAAATTGCTAAGATCTCACATGCTCTTAACATACACACAGATAGTAAGTAGTGAGGAGATGGATATGTTAATTAGCTTGACTATAGTAAATATTTCACTATCTATATGAATTTAAAAGCATGTTGTACACCCTAAATATGTAGTTTTTGTTAAATAAAAGAACAAATCATCACACTTTAGCACAGCCAACTTGGCAGTCACTGTGTGATTCCATTTTCTAAGTTCCAAAATTGTTTCTTTGTTCCAACGCACTATGGTGGAGAATTACTGGGGCTTTGGTGGTGGATGTGGTCTAACATACATTTGAAGATGTGTGAATCTGTACCCTTAAATCCTATGCATTGTCATAAACCAACATTACCATGATAAACAATCGATAAATAAACATTTTAAAAAACGAGCAAAAAAGTGTTTCTTTGAAATCTCTCCTTAAAATGAGCTCACAGCTGAACTAAATCATACACCACTCCATTTCTCTGATGTAGCAGAGGCAAGAGAAAATAGTTGCTTTCCAGTGGACGCATGCCCAGGAAAACAAACCCAAGTAAACAGCTACTAAAAAGAATCCAGTCTGCCATGCTTCCTATTTATTTGGCTTTGGAGAATTGGACAGAGCAGCATTGAGGGAGGCGCAATACACCGCACTGAGTCACCCCTAGAAATGGCTTCCTTCTCTAACAGCCTCCTGCAGGCCTGGGGGCCAGTGTAGGGCCCACTCTCATGACTTCCCCTTCACACATCTGTCCACAGAGGAAAAGGTTGAACTCACTTCCTTATTGCAATTCCGGCTTACAAAGTTCATTTCTTATTTCAGTTAAAAAAGATAATAAAAACCAACTTCTGAATACACACCCTTTCTTTGTTTGCTGGCATTAAACCTGCTGTGTTTGCCAGTCCAGCAATTCTTTCCTCCTTTCTTGATAGGGACAAGTCCTCTCTCCTTCCTTAGAGAACTGCTCCTCCCTGACGGTGCGCTGACTCAGGTGGGGCTGCTGACCACACATTCCTGACCCTGGCCACAAAGAGGATGATGTGACCTCGACCTGAGCCGTCAAAGAACCCCCGCCCTCGGCCCCAAGACTAAATGAGGAGACTGGCAAAACCTGGGCCAATCAGCTAGGACTTCCCCACAGGGGAAGGAGAGAGAAGAGATGCCTTCCCACTGCCTTAGCTTAGTTTCACTCAATAACAGAGGCCAGGAGCTTCTGGTAGTCATGACTGCTGTGCCCCATTCTTGCCAGGATGAAGCCATCCCTAGGAAGAGAAAAGGAGGCCAGGGGACAGCAAAAAGGCAAGATTAGTGATGAAGGGAAAGGTGTGCACACAGGCGGGAGAAAGGCTGGACGTTATTTATCTGGAGAGTGATTCCAATGCCTGGCCCGCCCTTTTTACAATACTCCTAAGTCTCCTTTTTTTAGGTAAGCTAATTTTACTTAGATTTCTGTCCCATAAATAGAGAACCCTAAGTAATACAGAAGTTGGTCCCAGCAAGTGAGGATTGTTTAAGTCATAGGGAAACAGATCCCTAAATATGGAACTGGCTGAGGCGAGGCAGTGAGGGGCCACAGGCCTTCTTCCACTCACTTTGGGGGAGAAGCTGGCATCCTGGCCATGTGCTGGTCAGCAGTGTAGCAAATGTTTGCCAGCTGCTACTTGAGGTCTAGATCAATGAGCTCAAGGATGTTGGATCAAAAAGGATGTTGGAATGGGTAGTCTCTGCGCTACCAAAAGGGATGCTTCTTTTGAAGTTGGGCTGTGAGCAAACTGAAGGGAACACGGGCAAATCAAAGGGAGGGTCCTTCTCCTTGTAGCAAGAGTCCTAGAGGGCAAAGATTTTGATGATTTTTTTTTAAAGATTTATTTATTTATTCATACAAGCACTGGGTACAGTCAGAAGCATGGGAGGGCGAGAGAATTCACCAGAGCCAGAGTGGGGAGCAGAACAGGCAGAAGGACCGAGGTACACTGCTGAGGGGAGCAGCGGGCGGCAGGAGAGGTCTGCGCGCCATGTGGGTCCCTCACCTGGTGACCGGGGATCGAACCAGCGCTGCAGAGGCTGCGGGCAGCTTCGCAACCCAGCACTCAACTGCCGCGCCACCGGGGAGGCCCTTGATGATTTTTTAAAAAGATTTATTTATTTATGCATACAAGAACTGGGGTATAGGCCAGAGGTATGGGGGGGCGGGTTGAGAGGATTCAAGAGACACAGAGTGGGGAACAGGCAGAATACTGAAATACACTGCTGAGGGGAGCAGCGGGCAAGGCAGGAGAGGTCTGCTGCGCCATGTGGGTTGCTCCCTGGCTGGTTGGGGATCGAACTCATGGTGCAGTGGATGATGATAGCTTGATAAAGCTGTCTTTAACTCCTGTGCCACCAGGGAGGCCCCTCGATGATCTTTTTTGTTAAAGAATTGCAAAAGCAGAATTCTGTATCTGGACAGGGCATGTCTTGCTCTCATCGAGTCGTTCCCAGACCAGGAAGCAGTACTCCCATCCAGGCCCAAATCTCAGGAACCCTTCTCTCATCACTGAGACCTTTCAACAAGGCAGCTTCTAAATTTTTCCCAAGACTGCCCACTTCTCACCAGCCCCACTACTTCTGTCAAAAACCCTCTCTGCTCAATCACCACGACAACTTATTAACTGATCTAATTGCCACCCGCACCGCCCTCACAGTTCATTCAGCCAGTCACCGTGGGTCTTTCCAACACAAAAGCCTGTACTTTTATTTTTTCAATTTTTTAAACAGTTGCATTTATCTTTTTTTATTTATTTTTTAAAGATTTATTTTTATTTATGCATACAAGAGAGAGCTGGGGAACATGCCAGAGATGTGGGGGGTGAAAGGATTCATCAGAGACAGAGTGGGAAACAGAACAGGCAGACTGACTGAAATACACTGCTGAGGGGAGCAGCGGAGAGTTGGGAGAGGTCTGCTGTGCCATGTGGGTTGCTCCCTGGCTGGCAGGGGATCAAACTCTGTGCTGCAGAAGCTGTGGATTGCTTCACAGCACAGTGCTTGACCCCTTGCGCCACCAGGGAGGCCCTAAATATTTATTTATTTATTCATAGAAGAACTGGGGTACAGGCCCAAGGTATGTGGGTGGTGGTGGTGAGAGGATTCACTAGAGACAGAGTGGGGAGCAGAACAGGCAGACTGAGTGAAATACACTGCTAAGGGGAATAGTGGGTGAGACAGGAGAGGTCTGCTGCACCATGTGGGTCACCTCCCAGGCCAGGGATTCATGCTGCAGAGGCTATGGATAGCTTCACAGGCTGCTTCTTAACCCCTTGCACCCCCTAGTCCCTGTACTTTTAAACCTAACATCTATTGAGTACCAAAATCAAGATAGCTGTGTCTATAATAACTAATGAAAGCTAGGCACAGGACAGAGTATATGTTTGTGAGATTATCTATAAAGAGTCAGTAATGGAAAATGTCAGTGATACATCTAATAATATAACAAAGACGACAACAAATCCAAAGCCAGTTCATGACCTTCTCCTGCATACTGTCCTCCAGTACCTTCTCGAAGCAATCATACACAAAATCTGAACTCCTTCTCTTAGTGTATAAGAACTTGGGTGCTTTGCAGCTGTCATCCTAGCCCCCCTTGTATGGCTCCTCTGTTCCCCACTTGCTCTCTTTCCTGCTCCTATCAGCTACTTTCTGTCCCTTAGACACACCCAACCAGTCCATATCTCAACGCCTTTACACTTGCCATTCCTCTTCTAGGGACACTCTGCCCCCAGGTCTTTGTGGGCCTGCCTCCTTTCCGTGGTTCAAAGGTGACAGAATGTTCAATGGGATTTTTTCTGTTGTTCAGAATTTTAGCTGTTATGAACAGGATATGACTACAAATTATCCTGACTTCATTTCTCATTTAATTTCCAGTATATTACAAGACTTACCCTTTGTGAAGTCTCAATTCTCTGTTAATTTTCATTAATTCATTTTTTATTTCATTAGTTATTCCACAAAGTTTGTTTCTCAGAAAAATTGCTTGGATTTTATAATTCTGAGTCTTGACACTTATGAAAATATCTCTTTTTTGTTTTCAGTACAGCTGGCTGCAAAATTTTAATAGCATACTCTTAACCCACAGGGTTACTTATGCATCACCCCACTGTCTTTTTATTTTTAATATTGCAAATGAGAACTCCAATGCCAGCCTGATTATCTTTCTATATGAGAGGTTGGAGGAGTTTTATATTTTCTGTGAAATACAGAAATTTTACCAGATATGCCCTCGTGTGGATTTTTGCAACAATTCTGCCCAGGACTCAGTAAGCCACTTTAATCTGTAGATGAAATTATATCATCTTAGAAAATCCTCTTTAATTATTTGCTTAATTGATATTTTACTTGTTTTCACTCTTCTTTCTTATTCTTTGATTCCGGTTATAAAAATATTAGACTATTGGCCTCCCCGGTGGCGCAGCAGTTGAGCGCTGGGTTATGAAGCTGCCTGCAGCCTCTGAAGCGCCGGTTTGATCCCCGGCTGCTCCCCGGCCACCGGAGGAGGGTCCCACATGGCCCGCAGACCTCTCCTGCCGCCCGCTGCTCCCCTCAGCAGTGTACTTCGGTCCTTCTGCCTGCTCTGCTCTCCGCTCTGGCTCTGGTGGATTCTCTCACCCTCCCGCGCTTCTGACTGTGCCCAGTGCTTGTATAAATAAATTAATAAATCTTTAAAAAAAATTAGACTATTATATGTCTCTCTGTCTTTTATTATTTACCTCTTTGGGTGTCTTTTGAGGGGTCATGTTAATCTTTATGAGTTTACCTGAAAACTCACAGTTTTCAATAGCATATATGTTAAGGTTTTATTTTGGGGGTGCATACAATGACATATTTCATTTTCAAGGACTGCTTCTTGTTCTTCTAGTATTCCATTTCATCTTTCTTTTACTTTCTGACATTTCAGTGAAATACAAATTTGAAGTTTTAAAAAGTTAGCTCCTGTCTTCTGTAATCATTCTTTTTAATACAAGTCAATGGGTCTGATTGATTTGCTGCTTCCCTTTCTAAGGTTGCTTAAGCTCCTCAGATGACTAACTTGTGCTTGCTGCTACTTGCTGGTATTTATAAACATGAAAGCCTCTACTGAAAAGGATCGATGGCTCTCCGGAGTGTATGGGTCACCATGGTACCCGGCATGGGATTGCCTCTTGACCCTGCTAGCACAGTCTTGAGGGTTTCAGCATGTGGGGAGACTCATGGACAGGCCCTGCCTTTGCTGTTATAATATACCAGGTTCATAGCTTCCAGAAAGTTCTTGAGGAACCCTCTTACACTGCTAGTGGGAATGTAAACTGGTCCAGCCACAATGGAAAGCTGTGTAGAGAGTCCTCAAAATACGAAAAATGGATCTACCATATGATCCAGCAATTCTACTCCTAGGACTACTATCCAAAGGACACAAAAACACTAATCCAAAAGGAAACCTGCATTCCTATGTTTATTGCAGCACTATTTACAACAGCCAAGATATGGAAACAACCTCAAAACCCCAAAACTGGATCAAGATGATGTGGCATACGTACACAAGGGAATATTACTCAGTGATCAAAAAAGATAAGCTCATGCCATTTGCAGCAACATAGATGGTGCTAGAAAGGATGATGCTAAGCAAAATAAGTCAGTAGGAAAAAGATAAATTGTTTCACTTATATGTGGAATATAGAGAAACTGAACAAAAGGTTAATCTATCTATCTATCTATCTATCTATCTATCTATCTATCTGACCACAGATAAGAGGCATAGAGCAAGGGAGGGACAGGGAATGGGGTCAAAACAGAGGAGGGAAGAGAACAAGGGACTGTGGTGATGGATCAATGCAATGGTAGTGGGAGAAGTATGGGGACTACACCTAAGAGGAGATAGAAAATACTGTACAAAAATGAAACTACGTAAGAAAAATAAAAACAAACGAACAAAGGGAAACCCAAATCAAATCACTGAATATGGCAGACTTTCTAGAAAGTTCTCTCTCTCTTGGTGTGTAGAATGAACTTAACGGAAGAGGCTGGCAGCCAGGAGATCAGTATAGAAGTGTGAGCAGCAGTCCTGTATCAGGTTAGATAGGAACTAGCACCACATTGTCTCAAAGGAAAACCAACACATGCAGCAAAGAAAGAGTGCCCTAAGATAGTTTTCCAATATTTGGACATTTAAAAAAGTCAAGTAGTTGCGTAACTTTGTAGTACTTGCTTTATGGGTTTTTTTTTTCTTTTCTAGTACTTGCTTTATGGGTTATTTTTTCTATTCTTGTTGTTATTGTTAATTGCTATTATTATATTGCTATTAAGGAAGCAATATTTGTTGAAGAGTGAAGAAATAAATGACCCCCTCTGCTTCTGGCTGGTTGGTCGTGCCATTCAATGAGAGAAGGACCAGAGGGAAAGGAGCAAGTCTGGAAGGAGAGATGGGGTGGGCTACGTGTTCTATGAACATATCAGATGACAGCATGCTGGGTCCTGCTTGGAACTCAGGGTGCCAGGCAGGCGCAGCAAAGGGATAACTAGGCTATTTCACAGTCACCGTGGCACGCGCTCCTGTCAATCATGAGGAATCCAGCTCCTGTGCCAGAGATGACTCCTGGAGCCCCTGCTGGATCAGATGGTAACATTTTAGTTGTTGGATTATGAGGTGGAGAAGCAGAGGGGTGGAGCAGGGCAGCCAGAGTACACAGGGGCTTGGGACAGTGGCTATTTACCAACAAGTATAGCTGTACCTGTGTACACGTCAACCACAGTGTCCTGGAATTAGAGACAGCTAGAGAAACCACACAGACTAGATGACAACATCCAGCAAAGCTAAAACCTTCCTGCTGCCTGAGAGGCACATAGGGCAGACCAAGGAGAATAAGCGTGTACTGGATGTTTATTTAGGGTCAGAGGCCTATTCTTAGAGCTCCTAACAACTTAGTTCAATGGAGAGTAGTTTCCATTACTCTATTTTACACATGAAGAAACAGCTTCAGGGAAGGGTTGAGTGGAAGGAACAGTATTTAGTGACTTGGAGATTTTCAGTAACTTGCTTCTGATCACATGGTCAGTAGCTGACAGAGTCCCAATTCAAACCCAAAGCCCTGTCTATACTTGACTGCCTGTAAGTTGGAATTGAAGATGGAAGGCAGAAGGGGAAATTAGGCAGAGATGATGGAAAATCTTTGAGGAGGTTTGGTAGTATCTTGGTAACCCAGGAGCTCAAAGAGTACCCAGAAAGGTACTTCCTCAGTTGCTAGTAAGGAGGAATTAAACACATGTGCTTGTCCCTCAGGAAAGGCTCCTGAGGAAATGGGGGATGGGGGTGAGATAAACATGGGATTTGCAACACTTTATAGGATGGATTTGGTGGATTTGAAAATTGGAAAAATCAGTTATTTCTCTACCTCCAAATACAAATGTGGACTTGGGTACAAAATCATTATTCAGGATATTTCTGAAATGAATGAATAAACAAAAGATCTGTTTGATTTATCTCAAACATGCACCTGACCCATCTTTCACCTTTTCAAATCTTCTTTAGGTACCCCACCCCACATGTAATGGGATAAAATCCAGATGCCTTATTCTAGAATTCAGCTGTACTGGATTGCAGACAGTTCCCTGAATTCCATGCTGTCTCCTCCTTTATTCCTACAGGTTCAAGTCCCATAATACCATAAAAGTCCAAGTCATATGCAGTCCAGAGGGTGGAGGACATTTGAGGTGGTTCTTTCCCCATTCTGCAGGCATCACTATGTGGTCTCAGCCAGGTTGGCAGAGAGGACTCACTGGACCTTCTCCTCTGTGTTTTCCATCTTGCCCCCCCCCACCCCATCTTCTCAGTCTCTTTGCTCCTTTGTACCTTCAAAGTCTGCCTCTTCCCTGATATAGGTTGATATAAGAAAACTGATTCTGTCCTTCTGGTTCTGCTTTTGAACAGATGTCTTTGGATGCTGTAGATTCAGGTCTTCCGGGTCGACAAACACCCAAAGACCTCTAGCACCATCAAGATTACTTACTGTGTCCTATCTCCCTTCCATTATTATGCCTGAGAGCATAGTGAGCTTCCCAGCCTGAGTCCATCCAGGATTTCCAGGCATAGGAATAAAGAAAAGGCTTGGAAGCCTTGCATCCATTGTGTTTCAACTGTATAAGTTCCAGATGTTAAATACATCAGATGTGCAGAGAGGAAGCATGACAAAAGGTAGGAAAGTCCAGGGGCCTTGTCACAGAGGAAGCAGAGTCTTCTTTGGCCATGGGCCTGAGGTCTGGTCCTGGAGAAACTAAGGCTTTCCTGAGATGGGGCAGGGCATGAAAAGCCCTGGCAGAGGGGCCTATGTGGCTCTTTTATGTGACCAGGAGGACACCAGCCTGGACACCTTTGCCAGGTGACAGGAAAGCCAATGTTCAACGAAGGGTCAAGAGTGCCAGGCCTAGGGTTTTGATTGTCGTTCTTAGCGTCTGAGCAGGGCTGGGGCTGACGCAGGGCCTGCTTCTGAGAGGGTTATTTGGTGATGTCCTCCTGTAGGTATGAACTGCAACACCCCTTCCTGGGCTTAGCAGAGGGAGCTCTCCTCTTGTTGGCTCTCTGAACCCCCATCACACCATGCTCCTTCTGTGATCCAGTCATAGTAAGTTCTGACTAAAATGAATGTCATCTTTACTTCATCACCTCAGGAGCTTCCTGCACCACCACCTGCTTTGGCCCCGTCCACACTAGGCAACCCCAGTCACTCTGTGGGCTTGTCCAACAGTCCACCTCTCTGGCTTCCTAACCTATAGCAGCCCCCATCCCATGATTCACTAGAGTCTCACTGCTCTTCCACAGGAAGCTCCTCAGTGGAGGTTCTGCCATGTTTGCTTTGTTCTTTTTAATTCTCTTCCTACCTCAAGAAGGATCAGGGCCAGCCCAGCTGAATGGGAGGAAATATCCAGGCACGCTACTCACCAAATTGGTTCTGTTTCTCCTGTGAGGTCAAGCCTCGAAGCTGAGAGGCGGGGTAGAGAGGAGCAGATAGCAGGAGAGGAATCTGAAACCAGCCCCACAAGGAACAGGTGACTTCCTGAGCCTCAACTTTCATTTTTCATTTGTCAAGTAGAGATGAAAATACCTACCTTGCAGGGTTACTAGGAAAAGTAAATGGGAAAGGGAATGACTGATGTTTAATAACTGGGAGTGGATAGCAGGCTTGTCTCATCCCAGCCTCGAGAGAAAAAGGCAGACTTGTCCAAAGTCACGTATTGAGACAGTCACAGCCCATGCTATTTCCCTCACTGGGATTCTGCCACCCACGCACACCACCCCCAACAAGTGGGAGACAACAGCTCCGAGCTGACGAGCATGATGGAAAAGCCTTCCTGTTCTCGGATGTCTCCCCAGGGCCACGCAAGTGGCAGTGACAAGCTTGGCAAACCCAGCCGAGGGGCACTTCCACAGCAGCAGTGGAGAATAAAGGAACTGGGCAAAAAGTCAAACAGAAGAAAATGGCTAGAAAAGATGTTTTAATATTCACTTATGTGGAAGAAAGAAATCAAAGTATACTACAGGAAGAAAATTCATCTTCGTGAAACTGTTCAATCGCAGTGAAAAATTCAAGAGTCGCCAAATGGAAGGTATAAAATCAGGGTGGGGGTGGGCAGAAGGGCCGCCCCAGAGAAAGGCAGTCTTTCCATGCTATTCTTTACTAGTTTCAGATAATTTGAAGTTTAAACTTTTCCAGCAAGTCAGAGCTATATAAACAGATGCCATACTAAAATATGATCGTGTAAAAATATAAACCTCCTAAAGCATGATGTCAATAATATTTTAGGGAAAAACATTAAAATCTATTAATATCAGAAAATACAAATAGGATCATTTGAGCGGGTTCTGTTTCTCTGAACAGCAGTTGCAAACGGTGGATGTATATTAAAGAATAAAGCATTTGGTCTACACATAACTTAGAAAGGGGGAACATTACTAAACAGTGACTTTGTAAGAAAACATGAAGGATGTCTTACACTCAACAACAATGGTTAAAAGGAGGAAATTGCTTTCTGAAGGATGCAGTGGGCAGAATGCCAAGGCCTTTGTTCTCCAGCTCACTCCTAAGCCCGTTGGGATGTATTCGCACTGCATGGGGTTTCCCGCAGAACCTAGCACCAAAATATGGATCAGACTTTATCTTGGATCTGAGTCCTTTCTGTCTTCAGTGTTGAGTGTATTGAGGTACGTTTTCTTTGGTTGCTGTTGTCATGAATGTGTAATAAAAACTAATTATTTACAACATTTAAACATTTTAGATTTCAGTGTCAACTCTTCCCATGAGAGAAATTGGAGAGATCATCGGAAGGTCATTACTTCCTAGCGTCGGTCATGAAGCTATTTTCGATACACAGCACAATTAGCCTATTTGCGCAGCTATATGCTTTCTGGTCCAGGATCTTCCCCGTGCTCAGTGGGGAGGCCAGGCCTGTGACGGCCATGTCGGTAGTTCGCCACGCTTCACAGTAGTTATCAACAAGACGAACTCCGTGGGTGTTGGAGCCGTGCCACACGACCTTCTGGGGCCTAAAAGGGAATTTTGTCATGTTAACTTATGTAAATGGTACTTCTTGGTGGTACATCTCAGTGAGCAAATTGACATAACTCTAGTGAATCAGTGCACATGCTTGAACCCTTCATGATCTGACCTCACGTCACCAATCTTCATTGCTGTTTCCCACTTTCTGAACACACAATATTCCAATCATATCCTGCTTATACTTGGTGTCAAGTCCTACTTTCTGCTTTCATGAGTCTGAACCATTGCTTGTGAGGCCCCTTAGTCTGCAGTGGCCTTACTCTCATTTTTAGATCAGTGATTCCTCAGCTTTAAAAAATCCATTAAATGCCTCCTCTTACAGGAAGTCTTCTTGATTCTCACCCTCCATATAGGAATGAATATTTCCTCTGCACTCCTATCATTTTATTTGCTTCCCCATTTTACAATGACAACATTCTGTCGAGAACTGTAGCTAATCTGTCTTCTGCTGTCGACTGTGAGCCTGTAAGGGTAGGGGCAGGCGAGGTTTACTACTGTGCCTTTCCAGGCCTGGTATCAGGCTTGCTGGGTTGTTTCATTCTTAAAAACACATGTAGGTTACAAAGAATTAGAATGCAATTCACAGTACAGGTTTAGAGAATCATCAGAATAGCAATATGTACTATTGTACAATATGTACTATTCAGTAGCCACTGTTTGCTAGATGTTCTCAGCTATCGTTTTATTCTCGCAATGATCCTGTGGTATAGATATGATTATCTTGCCCACTTGACAGTTGAGGCAGCTGAGGATCAGAGAGTGCAAGTGCTTTGCGCAAGCAAAGTTCCATATTAAGTTACTGGATTATCAAGACTCCTGGCTCCAAGGCCAGGACTGTCTCCATAGGCCTCGGCTGCCTCACCCAGGCTTTCTGACTGCAACATCCAGGTGCGACAGCTGCGAAAAGCATCCATTGTTAGAGGGACTCCTAAAACTGTCTTTCCTAACCTATTCTTCAAGGATTTCTCACCCTACTTACCAAGAAGGATCTGTCATGACATTCCGGCCATCAAAGGAGTATATTGGAACATGTGTATTGAACTGACCTCCATGGCCAGAAAAAATTGAGTCCCAATTATTAAAAAGTACTTGACCCTATGGAAACAAAATGACACATTGGAATCATACCATTGGCCTGAAAATGAACTTGCTATTTATTCATTCTTCAAGTACCAATGCTACTTCACACCAAAGCTGCTGTCTCCAATCCCAGAGCAGATAATGTGGGACTCAGGAAAAATGATTTTTACAGTCTATCCCTGAACCCTTTTTGGTTTCACACTCTTACTTCTTGAGGTAATTTCCTTATTATCTGTGCAGACAGCTTCCCCCCCCCCCCATCAAAATTGCGTTTTAGGTCTTTACTGTTATTGTTTTGAAAATGTTACATGTGCAGAACGAGCTTCAAATGGGGCAGACCTGGTGCACACCCACACTGGGGGTGATGCAGATGAAGCTCTGCCTTCTTTTCCTGAAGGAGCCCAATTTCCTCCAGTTATTTGTACTCTGAGAATACAGATAATTTGAGTGGCTGAGTCAGGCCGGCAGAGCCTGGGAGAGGAGAGATGTGGAGTCAACATGAACTCGCTGGCCCAAGGTTCCAGACTTGGTTCCTGGAGACCAAAAGGTCTCCAAGCGTCTCTGAGATCTAGTTAGGGACTAAGACCCAGTGTGTGTGCGAGCAGCGATGGAGCTAACCTCCAAGGGCAGCTTCTGTGGTATAACTGAGGATCCTACCAGGTCCAGCCTTGCCAGCAAGTGGGGCAGAGAAGTATCTGCCAGGCCTTGGTCACTTAGAGGTACAGAGAGAGCAACTCAGGACACAGAACAAGGTGGTGCTGCTCTGGGACCGATGCCCACCCACTGGGCTGCTCGGCCAGTGCCCAAAGGAGGGCATCCTTGGTGGGGAGCAAGGGCACCAGATGTGGGAGTCAAGGAAACTTATTCTAGTTGGTAGTGACCCGAAGCAAACTACTCATTTTCTCTGAGCCTCAGATTCGTTATCTGATAGATTGAGAAGAGAATAACTTCCATTTTTATTGGAGTATCTATTAAGATCATGGATATAAAGTGCATTGTAAACAATTATAAAAGCTAGATAAATGAGAGAGGTTATGATTATCTCTCTGGTCTGCTTTAAGAGTCAAATCCAAGCAGGAAGGGGTACTACAAATATAAGGAAACTAAGGCCCAGAGAAGGAAAGTGACCCTTATGACATCACACAGCACACTTTTGATGATGTTGGGAAGGGGCAACTGCCTCCAGGCCCTGTGAAGACCCGAGCTTCAGGATATAACAAGAACAATATTAATTTTTACCTTGAGGTTCACGATTGGGAGGCTGTATCGCTCTGCCTTCCTAACAATGGTGGAGAGATCTTGCAAGTGGGTGGACAAGAAGGCTCGGTAGGTGGACCACAGTCCTGCAGCCCTGGCCTGCTGGAAGCACTGAAAATCAGCTCGGAAGTCTCCAGAAAATGGTGTGTTCAGAGCAACCAAGTGTAGCTGAAAAAATTGAGAGAAAAACCAGTGTGTCAAAGAGTCAAAAGCAAACTCCAACCCCGAAACAGGCTCATGCTCCCAATGAGACCCCATCTTGGGCTGGAGGGCAGGCTAGAGTCAGCTTTTGCAGCTTCTACCCAACACTGGAATTCCAAACCTGGCTCAACCTTCTCCAGGGAAGCAGAGCTCAGGTCTGCTAAAGCAGCCTGCTTCAGCTCTCAGAACATCTCTAGATGGCAGAAAACTCTTCCATTAAAAGAAAAACAAAACAAAACACTCTTCGGAGCAAATAAAGCACTTCAGAGATTTGAATCCAGCCTGCAGGCCATTTGTTGGAGGCAGGTGACCATGAACTATGACATCCAGACTGCCCCATGCCATCCTAACACTCTTCTGGACATTTTCTCCCTTTCACCATCCCTTTTCAAAGAAGACAAACCCTAAGCCTGCTGCTTCCCCCAATTTCTTTCAATTCATCTCTGGTTCTGTCTTTCTCACCATGCTAGAGACCCAGGTCAAGCAGCAACCAGATCAAGCAGCACCCCCACTTCTGCATCCCCTCTCTCAGGTACACATACACTAAGATACTTCCTGCAGCACTGGATGTTCCTGCATTCCCAAACCTCACACAGCTCCTCACCATGACCACTTCCAGGCCTCGAGACTTCTAGCCCTCCATAGGAACCCTGGCCCCCTGATGCCCCTGCCACCTGGCTGTACCATCCCTACCCAGCTTCCTCCCGCTCATGTCTCCAGACACTGTAGCACCTGAGGGAAGAGGCCCCGCAGTCTCATCACCCTCCAATAAGGAGCTTCTGGCAGCTTCACAAAAGGACATTCACAAGAGCCCTTGATGGAATGCAGCTGCCCCAAAGCCAGGGCAAATTTCCCTGCACATTTCTAATCCATCCATCTCCACCTCTCCTTCCTGAAGGAGACACACAGAGAACTGTCTAGAATGATGGCTGATGCTGCATGGCGGGATGAAGAACCTTTGTGGTCTTGTGTTTGTATTTCTCTATTTGCTATATCATTTTTAAAACGTAGATTTGTCCTTTTTACGAAGGTAATATGTTATGACAATCAAAACATGAATGGTTATTTTGTGGTGATTGTAGTTTTGGTGACATTAGAGGTGATACACTATTTTCTTCTCCATTCTTTTTACTCACTCTCCACATTTCTACAATGACTATTGATTACTTTAGAAGTAGCTACATTTTTTTTGGTAATCCATTAACTACGACCCTAACTTCTCTTTATAACTAAGCTTTTTCTTCTCTCTTTCCTCACCTCCCACCAACTCCTCAACCACCTGGAATCGTGCTGGCCTCTTCTGTGCTGCAGGAATGCTTTTTGCTACTTCCTAAATCTGAAAGGGCCGCTTTCAGTTCTTCGGAGGGAACTGTGGCAGCACGGCCCAGCTGACCCGCTGGCAAGGCATTCTTCCTCCCTCTCTGGCTCCGGCTTCTCAGCTTCCTTCTCACATTTCTTCCATTAGTTCCTTTTTGTTTTGGTTCCTGAGGCTCCAATCTCTTCTCACCATACAGAGTCTCTTTCAGGAGCCCCACACCCCATCACACTTGCCTGGTTTTGCTAAAGACCCCCCGCCTACATCTCCAGACAGAGCCACTGCGGGGTCAGATCTTCACGTCCTATTCCCTCTTGTCAGATGCCACTCAGATACCCTCCAAGCACTCCCGACTCATTGTGCCCCCAGCTGAATTCCTGCTTGGTGAAGAGCAGTATGCTACGAAGCGTGTTTCTGATGTCTGCCAAGCCCACGCATGTTCTGGGAAAGTGTCTCCACAATACTTGCTAAAAAGAGTGGACTTAGGGCCTCCCTGGTGGTGCAAGGGGTTAAGCACCGCACGATGAAGCAATCCGAAGCCTCTGCAGCACGAGTTCAATCCCCTGTCAGCCAGGGAGCAACCCACATGGTGCAGCAGACCTCTCCTGTCTCACCCGCTGCTCCCCTTAGTGTACTTCAGTCAATCTGCCTGTTCTGCTCCCCACCCTGTCTCTGGTGAATCCTCTCACCACCCCCACATCTCTGGCCTGTGACCCAGTTCTTATATACATAAATAAAAATAAATCTTTAAAAAAAAAAAAGAGTGGACTTAGACCATTCCAGCTCATTCTTTTGGCCACTTTTGATTTGGCTATCAGTGGATCCAAAGATGACCCATATAGACCCTCTCTCTCCAGACTCTCAATTGAGTCAGGTAGTACTGAGCTCTGCAGCTGTACAATCACAGAGTTGGGGCCAGGTTACCCCAAAGCTGAGTGCAAGCTGATGTAAGCTATGTTTGTGCACCCAGGTGGGAGTATAAGGGAGGCAGGAAGAAAGACCCCGCAGAAGCCGGTCAGGAGATATAGTGGGGCAGACTCAACAGGAGAGTCCACCAAAGGCCCAGTTGTGCTTCTTGCAACTGAGTTCATGAAGTTCCTGCAATGATCTGAATAAGATCCTTACTTAACCTAGCGACAGAACAGAATGAGGTTCTCATCCCAGTCACAAAAGGATCCTCTTGTGATCAATTATTCAAGCAGAAGCCTGGGCACGGTTCCTGATCTCCCTCGTCCTCACTTCCCCCTATCCAATCAGTGACCATATTTGTCCCTCCTGCCTCCTTAATTTCTCTCCAATCTGCCCATTTTCTATCTGTTCGGTACTCTGATTCTGGTTCAGATAACACAGCAACCAACTGATTGGTCTTTGTGCCCCGGTCCTGTCTGTCCTATATCCTTGCACATTGTAATTTCTGAAATGTCAATCTGACACCCCCCTCTCTAGCTTAAGACCTTATAGTAGCTCCATAACAAAGTCCTTAGTTTGGCTTATGGGCCCTGGATGATCAGTCCTTGACCTCTGCAAACTAAACCTGAACTCTACTCCTTCAGCCAGAATGAAACATGTGGAACTGGGAAACGTACAGCACTTCCCTTTGCCTCTGTTCCATACTCCCGCTGCCTGGAATTCCCACTCTTTTCCTCCCACCTGGATCCCACCTGCTTTCAATAGTCCTTTCTCTTAGCTCACAGGTCGCCTACTCTAAAGAAGGCAGACTTCATTGACCTTCCCCCGCACCCCAGCACCCTGTTTGCCTCCCCAAACCACTTAGCATGCTGGATTTTAATTATCTTTGTTTTGTTTGCCTCATTCACTCATCTGCACGCATCCTGAGGGGGCAGCTCTGCCAGCACACAGGGGACACGCACTCTGCACTAGCAGGGCACACGCGGGACGTGCACTCACCACAGGCCTCTCATAACTGGCACTTGAGATTGACATCAGTGGAGGCAGAGGCTGATGTGGCTGTTACATAAAAAGGGAAAAGAAACAATTGTGAGTATGCATCCGACTGATGCCTCAGGGCACACTGAAGTGCAAGAGCAAGGCTCCTTGGGAAGGGTCTTTAGGAAGTCTGGCAGGGTCTTGGGGGCCACACTTAACCATGAATAGCTTCACATGTGAGTGAAAACAATGACCCTCACAAAGGGTAGGATATTCTCAAGGCTTTTAGAAAAAGCACTGAACCAAGGACGTAGCCAACTCCTCTACCTCATAGGACAAATCATCTCTTCAGTCTCTGATTCTCCATCTGCAAACTGGGGGTGATAGTACCTGCCTTAAAAGATTGTTGTGGGGTAGAATATAGATGGTATAAATTGCCAATGTTCCTATCAGGCTAAGTGCTCATAATGCTAAAGATTAAAGGATTCCTCTAGATTGTTGATGCTGACCATGATTTCACAGATGAGTAAACCGAGGCCGAGAGAGGGGATGCCCTGTGCCCCGGAGTTTTCAGACATGGATAACCGGTCCCCACCTCCAGGCTCAGCTCTCCCTCCACTTTACTGAGAGGATACCCTGTTGGTGATTTCTGGGTTTTTACTAGATACCTAGCCATAACTGGCCATAACTGGCCATAACCATAACTGAGCTGGCGGTCTAGAGTTTAGAGAGCCTGGTCCTGGAGATGCAGGGGGCCCAGGAAATGCTGACAAATGAAGGAGTGAGAAGCAAAGCGGGGAAGTACTCACGTTGCTGGACAGTGCAGGTGGGGGAGGGCTGTCTGCAGGGATGGGGATCAGTTCTCCCAGCTTTAAGGAAACAGAACATTGAAAATAAAGTATCAACTAGAAATGGTTTGCCTTGTTTTCAAAATATTGATAGGAGTAGATAGGTTTGTGTTTTCTGAGGTTATCGGAAGATGGCTTGTTAAAGGAGGCTCGAGAATTACCTGTAATTTTTTCCAGCCATCTCGGACACGGATGAAAAACTCCGAGCTGTCCCTCAGGTAGATGAACGTCCCTTCTATGACCAAATGTGCTTTCTGCAGCATGTCGTCCATGCTGCTGAGGGCCGTGACCTGTCAGAAAATTCCAGATTCCAGACACGGCTGTTATCAGCCCAGTGGCGCAACTAGGGAAACAGTCTCTTTGAAAAGCCAAATATAGCCATCCCCTCATAGTCAATGAAAAGACTTCTTGTACCACATAGAGATAGAGAATCCATGAATAACTCAAGGACATTCTTTCTGAGAAAACAAAAATATGAATTACCTTGGACACACATCTCCATCGTAATAAACAAATTTAAAAAAGAAGATAATATTCTGTGAGTATAAAGACATTTAAATGCTGTGAAGAGAGTTGTCTTCGTCGGATTTTGGCAAAATCATCCCTTTGTTTTGCCATGTCCAGCTCCTTTGAGAGGCGACACTCACATTGTTAAAAATGTGTCATCTCGTGCTGCTCCTTAGAGATTTTTACATTTGCTTTCACTTGAATAAGAAAGGTAAGTAAATGAGCAACTCCACTCAGACCTTGAATTTTTTTTTTTTTTTTTTTTGGTCTAGTTGGGTAGTTACAATATTAAGTGTGTGATAGAACATGGGGATCTGTCATTTCTGTCTAGAACATGGCCATCTTGGCATAGCCAGGAGCAGACATAAAAGCTGCAAAAAGCTATCAAAAAACATCAAGTCACAAAAGCAGCAGTAGCCTGGAGAGCTTTTACTTTTCATTTCAATGGAGATGATAAAAAATTAATTTTGACCTTGCCTTGAAGATAATGACTTTAAGTATTAAAGAGGCTTAGGCGCCTATGCCCTCCCACAAAGACATTAAATATCAAAATTCCATCACTTGCTGGATAGGTCCTTCCATGGGCAGTGAAATTTCCATCTAAATTCAGTAAAGATCAAAGAGCATTCCTAGGACTCCTGATGCCTGTGTGAGGTGTTCACCCATCTTTCTGTGGCTCATGATCATTCCCCAGTGCTACCCCCTGCTTGTGATCTGCAGGGTAACAAACACACAAGAGACGTTCTTTGGTAGAATGGAGAAGGCTGAATGACCCAGGTCCATCTGACCAGCTCAGTGCTGTGTGATCTTGTTCACACACGATCGTGTTTCCATTTTTTTATGTCACACAATGGGTTCTTATGCTTTAGTCAATTAAAGATTAGAGGAGTAGAACTCAAATCATAAGTGATTTTGTATTCTATGTTTTTTTACTTAATAAATCATCTGGATAACCATTACCTCTACTACTTGTGGAATTGTGCCAATTCTATTGTCCTGGAAACTTAACCCCAACATACAAGATATGCCAATCCCCAAACACTGTAGCTGGAATACTCAGTCACCCCATCCAAAGCAGATGGATGAATACCCGCTGATAGCAATACTGACCAGGTTTCTGGATCCAGGAAGCCCAGGCTGTCCTGGAGGGCCCGGCGGGCCTGGAAGGGCCACAGCTAGGACAGAGAGGAGTAGAGAAATTATAAAAGAGCAAAGTTTCTGGAAAATGCCTTAGTGTCAGCTGGGCATTGTGGGGAGCTTGCACAACCCCTTCACAGCGCTGCAAGGCATTGCACTGAGCAGAGGTCTCAGACACCTTGGCTGGTTGGGGAAGAGCTGAAATCTTTGACTATAGCCCTTGAACAGAGGAGCCTAGCTAGAATGTGTCCATTTTACAAGTGAATGAGCTCCTGTTGTCTCTGTGATTTGAGCTCAGTTTTTTGTCACTTGCACCCCAAAACTTCCTGACTCACACAACTTACTTCACTCGAGACAAACTGAAATAACCACTGAAGAGAGATGACTAACTATTAAAGAGAATAGGGTCAGAAAGAGGAAGAGAAGGTGCTAGGCTGTAAAAGAGGGTGGTGTGGTACAGTGACAGAAGCCCCAACCTTGGGGCCAGGACATGAACTCAGGTTCCCGATTTGTCAATTCCCAGCTGTATGGAGAAACAGCAAATCCTCTGAACCTGTTTCCTCATCTGTGAAATATAAGCAGTCATTTCTTCATGGGGCCATGGTAAGGAAAATACAATTGCTTTGCAACTGTGCAGCATTCAATCAGGGGTTCTTAGTTTTTGATGAGAGTCACAGTGGCCTTAAAATTCAGATCAAGGCTACTGGCCTCTTCCTTAGAAAAATATAAGCATATGTGCATGCACCGCACATACTCATCTCTATAAAATGTTAGTAAGAGCCCTTAAATTCTCTAGGGCTCATGGTTGCCTAATAAGAAACCCTCATGATAGGCAAACATAATGAAGTGTCATTACAGCTATTCCTTTGCTCCCCTTCTACCACTATAATTCCCTGTCCTCACAAACTCGGCAAAGCTCTTGTAGCATTAAGGATGTCTTAATAAGTCCCAGTAAAATTACTCTGAGATTTTTCAGTTCATTGCGAGCAAGTCTACAGTTCCAACTTAGGACTTGGAAATTTATATAGGGTGGTGAATGTCTAGTGGGGAGAGGGTCAGAGGGTGTGGATTTGGCCCCCTACTATGCCTCTTACTAGTACTTGTGACCTTGAGCAAGTCTCTTAACTATTCTGAGCTTCCGTGTCTTCATCCATGAAATGAGTTTTATAGTAATATCCATTTCATCTCCCTCCCAGGGCTGCTATGAAGATAAAATGGGATAATGAATGTGAGAATGTTGTGGGAATTGCGAACCACTGTACATGATGTGCAAGGCAATCCTTGTTCAATGGAGCGAGGAGTCCTGGGGGCCGAGTGTGGGGCCATTATGGAGAACAGGGTGTCTGCATCCTGTTCTGACCCTCTAACATCCCCTCACTACTCTGATTCCTACTCATCGCTCCAGGCTGTGTGAGCACCTGTGGTTTTAATCCCCCCAGCAACTTTCTTTCTTTGCAATATGGTCATCTCTGGCATCTTCCCTTCACCTCTGCAACCATTTGCTTTCAGAAGGAGCTGCAGTATTCTCACATGATCCTGCCTCGTTGGTCACAGGTGACTAGTTCAAGGTTGGGCATCTGGCCCAAGACAAGCCAGTTGGAATCCTTCCTTAGGATTTGCACCAGCCCAGGACTTTTTAAACTGAAAATTAGACAAAGGGCCAAGATTTCTAACTGAAGGTGGAAACTATAAGCTGCCGGTAACCATATTTCCTACCATGCAGAGGATGTGGTCTGTGGTGAAGCATGAAGCTTCACCATGTCATGCAGAGAGAAGACAAAATGTGGCCAGAGACTCCTCACAGGGGTTGAGTCCCTGGATCTGGTTGTTGCCAAGGCCCAGGGGCATGCTGATTGCCCGCACATGGATTGTTTGCCCCCTCCTTCACATCCAAAACACTTCCCTTTTGTTTGATCCAATCTGAGCTACATTTCTGTCACTTACATAGTCCAAAGATCCAAGAGTAAGTCAAAGCCCATCTCCTATGTAAGTTCTCCCGATACCTCAGATGCTGTCGCTCTCCCCTAGGGGGAGGGGGCTCCCACCACACCTGCAGCATGTTGATGCAAACCCCAGAAAATGATGTGCTCATACTATTATTGCTCTGTTGTCTTTTTCCTCCATGGGCACAGTAGGAAGAACAGACTTCAGAGCTGCCCTGATCTGGGTCCTCATCAGCTGGTGTCACTTATTAGCTGTGTGACCTTGGAAAAGTGCCTAAATGTCTCTGGGTCTCACATTTCTTAATGCAGAATGAAGGTGCTAATGCTTTCCTGGAACAGCTTTGTAAGAATTTAATAAAATAATGTAGTGTAAATGGCAGAGTCTGTTTGATGAATGTTCAATAAAAGGAAACATACTCCTATCTCACCCACTTTTCATTTGAGGGGCTGTGGCAACAGATTTTTACAGAATTAGAATCAGCACTGGTCCTCAAGTCTCTAAGGCCTAGGCATTGACAAAGCAGCCAGGAAGTTTCTACCGACAAGGAACATCTTTAGGGAAATAAAAATCAAAACCACATGAGATATCATTTACATGCACCAGGTTGGTGCCGGGGGCAGGAGGCAGTGTGAGGAGCCCTTCACAGTCCTAACCTGCTCCCAGGATAGCTGGAGGTCCGGGTGGCCCTGGTGGTCCTGGTGGTCCAGGGGAACCAGGTCTTCCAAAGCCAGGTGGCCCAGGCAGACCAGGAATACCTGGGGGTCCTTGAGGTCCGACAATAGTCTCCCCCTTCTGGCCCTGTCAAGGTAAGTGCACAGTAACAGATGAGAGAAAGCACAATCAGTTACGTTAATCATGAACAACATGTCCTGTCATTCTATTTAGGAAGCATTTAGAAGAAGTCAATAAATACCAGCTACTGGAACCTCCCTGGTGGCACAAGGGATTAAGCACAGCACTATGAAGCTATCTGCAATCTCTGCAGCACAAGTTCAATCCCCGGTCGGCCAGCGAGCTACCCACATGGCGCAGCAGACCTCTCCTGTCTCACCCACTACTCCCCTCAGCAGTGTATGTTAGTCAGTCTGCCTGTTCTGCTCCCCACTCTCTCTGCTGAATCCTCTTACCCTCCGCACCTCTGGCCTGTGCCCCAGTTCTTGTACGCATAAACAAATAAATCTAATAAATAAATAAATAGCAGCTACTGTTCTCATTATTGTCCATCCCGGGTACACTCAAGTTGGATCAAAGTAAAGAGCAGCAAGCCCGGCCATTGTGTTAATGTCACTACACAGAATCTCAGATAACCCTGGAGTCAGAGGGGCCCAAACTTTGCACTTCACGACGAGGAAACAGAGATCTGTAGAGGGGGCAGGGCTCACCCAAGACCTCCAAGCAGATGAGCTGCAGAGCCAGAAGGAGAGCCCTGGTCTCCTGGCTTTGCTGGGTCTATCCTGAGGGCAAGCTCTGGAACCACAGTTGCTCATGGCCCCCGAAGGTCAATGATCAGATCATGTTTTGGAGGCATAACTCAATTTCCTCTTCAAGGTCTGAAGAAATTCCTCATCCTAAGGAGACCAAGTCTATCTCGGAGCTCCTTCTTTTATAAAATTTCAGAAGGTCAAATTGCTCCTCTAAAAATATCTCCCTCTCCTCCCATGCTGCCTCTGTTATCTGACGTGTTCACTTTTTTCTTTTTTTTTTTTAAGATTTATTTATATATTTACGCAAGCACTGGGTACAGTCAGAAGCGTGGGAGGGTGAGAGAATTCACCAGAGCCAGAGAGGAGAGCAGAGCAGGCAGACTGACGAAGTACACTGCTGAGGGGAGCAGCGGATGCAGCAGGAGAGGTCTGTCACGCCATGTGGGACCCTCGCCCGGCGGCTGGGGATCGAACTGGCGCTGCAGAGGCTGCGGGCAGCTTCACAACCCAGCGCTCAACCACTACACCACCAGGGGAGGCCCTGACGTGTTCACTATTAATAACTTTGTATTGAGCCAATTTTGCACCATAGACATGAGGAAGCAGTGAGGTTAGTGAATGCACATGGCCTTGGCCAGCTCCCTTTCCTCGGGGTCTCCTGCCACCTCCCCATCAGTAGATAAGAATGGGAGAGAGTTGGCCGGTGCCAAGTCCTACCTCCAAGTGAGACCCCCCCTTGCTCTCCAAATGCCCAGTCATACTGGGGGGCTTCAGGGAAAGCTGTGACTCATGGAGGAGGAAGAGGGTGGGGAGGGGTTACTACTCACGACCAGGCCTGGACTTCCTGGCAAACCGGGAGGCCCCGACAAAAAGAAGTCGCTATTAGGGTCCCCCTTTTCTCCTTTGATGCCCCTGTCACCATTCTCCCCCTGGAAGCAGAGAACATTCAGTAAGAGGAGGATGAACCAATCTCTGACATCAGCCCAAGAACTTGGAAACACAATGCTTAGCAGAGAAGAATTACCTTCAGGCTGTTCAGAAAATGTCTCAGGTAAGCTGGATCAAGTGGAGGGCCTGAAAAAGTAATGCTTTATAAAATTCACAATCATAACTTCAGGCATTTAAAGACGAAAGTCTCCTCATTGGCAACCATGATGGTTTGCTATTGGAAGGGGCCTCACGCAGGTTTAGCTAACAGAATAAGGCCAGGTCTGGGGCCCACAACCCAGATAGTGTGAGGTCCTGGGCACAGCCCAGCACTCACTTTGGGCCTTATTTTGCATATGAATCATGAACCACTGGAAGGACTGTTCTCCCGTTACTATGTTCCATCTCCGGCACATGATGCCCATGACTGGGTGGGTCCCTCTAGAACTCAGTGGAGCTCACAGTAGGGATGGTGATATAATTATCTCAACTTTCTGGCTCAGGAGGATATCTCAGGGATAAAACTCAAATGGAAGTTCCAGAACAAGAATTGAAATACCTGGTGGTCCTTGGGCCCCCTGGTCACCTTTCTCTCCTTTGGAGCCAGGAAGACCCCAGGATCCTTTTTCTCCTTTAACACCTGCCACCAACGACACACACATTGAAAATAGTGGAAAATCACCTTTGTTCTACAGAAAATGTTTCTGAGTAAGGTTTCAAACTGAGCCCCTTCAGCAAAGTCCACTAAACAAAGGCCAATTGAAAGCATAAATTCCTTTGCTAAATGATGGGGAGGGCAGAGGTGGATGCATCAGACACAGTTTCCGCTCTGAAAGCTTGGTCTCATCAGGGAGACGGACACAGAGCGGGTAACGGAGGCAGGATGCATAAGAGGTGCCACAGCGATGCCAGCAGGGCTTCATGGGAGTCTGGCAGAGGCTCAGCCGACCCTCTCCTGGACAGTTTAACCGTGAGATTCAACACCAAGCCCAGCTTCTAGTTCTAACTCACCTCTACCAGTGCAGCAGGGTAGGGGAGGGGGAGGAGTAGGAGTGGAGTCTCCAGGCGTATCTGCAGGGGGCCAGCAAAAGATGCTGAACACTGTAAGTTGACGGACCAACTCCACACACCCTCTCTGCAGGGCTTGTGCGAAGGCAGTTTCCAAAGAACTGGCCTTACAGACACCCCCTTATCCTCAGACTCCATGTGGGAGAGGCACCATGGGAGGCTTCTGCGAGCTCAGAGATTGGGAAGGGAAGTGATCCCCTCTCCACCTTGATGGGTGTGTGAACACTAAAACTTTGAATTCCTGGGGAATTCAAAGAGATGAGACAGCAAGCAGCCAGTGCTCCCCAGCCCAGAGATGGGGCATGCAGAACAGATAGGTTTGGAGGCCCAGGCTTCCTGATGTGCGGGGATATGAGAGCAGAGGCATGACTTGCCGCTGGGGGTCAACTGGGAGATGCTGTCTCACCTGCAAGGCCCCACTGATGTTGGGGGAGCCACCTGGGCCAGAACATGGACAACCAAGTGAGGACTCACAAGCCAGTGGGGCAACCTGTTGACCAGGGGCCATGGAGTACAGAAAGGTCTGTCTCTCCCCTGAGCCCAGAGGGCCTGCCAGAAAGGGGAACACCTGGGGATCTGAGAAAGCAAATCCAGCTCTACCTCCTCCTCCTTCCACCTTAGTCATCCAAAGTCATAGGAAATCCCTGGGGTCAGACATCATCAGGGAACCCACCTGGCAGCCCAGGGTGACGGAGTAAAGCCAGGCATGTACTGGGAAGAGACCTTCCCCCATTTAAGTTGCAAGTGTTCAGACTCCTTGATCAAAAGGGGGACATATGACCCAACTGGGTGTGGGGACGGGGACCAGAGTGACTGCTCTCCTGCATGCTCCTGTCACCTGGCGCACCCCTTTTCTGATGTGTGCTAGATAAGCTCCTCCCAGTCTGGACATGCTGAGGTTTACTAGTGAGGCTTCGGGGCTAGCAAGTTTCACACCTCACTGTGCATACACCTCAGGGAGCTTGTTAACCTGCAGCTTCCAATTCAGCAGGTCTGCAGCAGGGCCTGAGACCCTGCCCTGCTAACCAGCTTCTGGCAGATGCTGATACTGCCGGCCCAAGAATACTAGGAAATCAAGGTCTTCCAAGTTCCCAGGATCCCCTTGTTTTAGCTCTTGGTATAAGGCATAATAATTATCTTCTAAATAGTTTCACCTAACAAAGTCCAAGGGCCTGGGTCGCAGGAACAGCATAGGCTTGACCTACCTCCACTAGTGCATGGGAAGGCACCAAGCAAGAAGGGATCAGTAGGTGTTTTGTGAACAAGCCAATGCACCAAAGAGTAAGTGGGGTGGTTCCTGCTTAACTAGTCGGCTCAGGCAAGGTGTGCAAAACGGACAGACAGTGGCGAAAAGCAGAGAGGTGCCCTGCCCCACAGCTCACCTGGGCTCACCTGGCAGCCCTCCCACCACTCTTGTCAACCACTAATCTATACCCAGCCTGGTGCAAATGGAAACTACCATCTGCTGAGCTATGAGCATCTGGGGATGTCCCAGAGAAACCGCAGGGCAAAGAAGGCAGTGTGTACCATGAAAGGTGATGAGTTCTGAATCCCCTGGATGAGAGGCGCCAACCTAGAGAGAGAGAAAGACAAGGTTATACACTGCACCCGTCATGGAAATACACACAGGCAGGTGGCACTGTCCCAGGACGCATGTGGCAGGATGGATGGTGTCAGAGAGTCAAGTTTTCCTTTGGCTCTGGTGTCCTCCCCCCCAATTCCTGAGCATCCCAGCAGTTCCCTGTGCACAGGCATCCCAGGTTTCAACTTGGGGGCTGTTGTGCAGCTGGACTGGGGTACACAGACTGAGAGTTACTGCCAAACAGCTCTCCCAAGGGAAGCCCCAAAATTGAAGATGACAAACCATAGCACACTTGGTGTGGCTAACTCTGAGCAGTCTGTGTCCTTTCTGATCAACTAGGATTGACTCATGTAGGGGTCAAGCATCTGAGCAAGAGATGGAGCCAGCCATGAGGCTGGGCCAGTCATTACCTCTGCTTCTGTGATAATCAAAGCTGAGCGTAATGAGCAGGAACTGGATGGTGGTGATGATTAATAAGGGGTGGGGTGATTTCATTAGATTGGGGGGCATTCTGGTTTCCCCCATTAAGTGCCATGGTCTTGGAGCCCAGGCTATTCTAGACAATATTCTTCCCAGTTCACTCCCTATTCGGGCATTTCTTCATCTATTAAAACAGAGCCACCTATGACCCTGTTCTTACTAGTCCACCTTCCCCTTTTTCACAGTCGATACATGTACCTGTAAAAAACTGGCTGTGAGGGGAAGCATTTATTTTTCAAAATGTCCATTTTAAGAGTTGGTCAAGAAACAGCCACACCCCAGCTCCCCTGTTATCCAGCTGTGTAACACAAAATTTCAAAGTACCAAAAATAGCCCGAGCCTGTCTTTGGCTTCTTTAAAGTAACTCTGCAACCCTCAAAGGTCATAGTTATCACCAAGCGTGCTAGCACAGTCATGGTCACTGTAGGAGCATTTTTACAGCACTTTCAAGTTTGTCAAATGCCATCCCACAGTCAGTCCATTTAAGTCCTGAAGTCGTGTTAGCTGGAAGGGGTTCACTCTTTAGGGTCACCAACTTGGGGTGGGACCAGGAACAGGCTTCACCTCTGGGCTGCTGTTCTCTTGTATGGTAAGAAGTTGGGCTGCAGGGATCTCTCAGGAGATTTGAGTTTTTATGTTTCCCTTCAGCTGTCAGGATAAACATGACGGGGGCTGCAGTGGTCCTCAGGGCAAGCGGGCATCAGCAGGCCACTGACACGGGTGGGCCCTGTCCTTTGCCTTCCAGGCTGGCATTCCCAGGCTCTGAGCTGCAGACCCAAGTGACTCAACGCAGACTGCTCTCTGGGCAAAAACGCAGCCAAACAGCATCATTTTGTAGCCTCTGACCCAAGCCTCATCCCTACCTCCAGCGCATCAATTACTAACCCACTTGGAACTTGCCAAGCTCCTTAGAGCTGAGCCCATACCTGTCTAGGTCACCTCTGTGTCCCACAAGCAGAATACCTGGTGCTCAATAAATATTTGTTGACTGAATGAGAGAATAATCAGATCCAGCTCCATGGCAAATGCCCATGTAAGAGAAGGCCCGCCCTCCCTGTGTTGCTTGCAGTATGCATGAAACCTCAGGGACAATGTAGCTGATTGGCTGAGTGGGGGGTGCTTGTCTGACCCCGCATGTCCCTGGACCTGCCCTGCTGGCTGGGAGACCTGAGATATGACCCCAGGGCTGTCAGCCCCAGGACCTGGGAGAGGTCCGTGAACTTCTCTGAGTCACAGTTTGGAGAGGTACTCCCTGCCTCTCGGGGTGCTGAGCTGTGCGATAACAGGGTGACTGGGGAAGGGCGGCACATTATAAACCACAGAATATTATGGGTTACAGGGTTTAGCCCCAAATTCCTAATGCAGAGAGCACAGTTCAGAACTGCTTTTTTTTTTCTCATCTGCATTTGAGGCGTCTGTTTCCCTCCTGTTTAAACTGCCCTACGCATGATGCTAATGTGGTTATGGAAACCAAAGGCACATGTTTTGACTGTATTAAAAGAAACACTGCCAGCGTGTGGCCCCTTAGAAGACCCAGCGAGCTTCATTGCCATAACCTGTTATCTACAAGCTTCTTGTCGCTTAAAGGTCTACAGGAAGGTGACAGAAGACGTGAAAGAGGGCATTGGCAAATAGAAGAGGCCCACGAGGCAAGAGTGATGCTCTCTGCATTGCTCTCTGTGCCAACCCCCGGCTCGCAGGCAGGGGCTGCGTGTTACTCACTGGTGTTTTGCAGTGTGGCCGCGGGGGTACTGGGAAGACCGCCTGTGGTGAGCAAGAACAAGAGGCTGTCAGGACACCTGGCTCCAGTTTAGGCCGATCTGGTCCCATTCCTGCTCCCCATTGAAGGCCGCCTCCCGGTCACCCGACTTACTCCTTTGATGTTAACCATAGCTCCAGGTGGTCCGGGGGGCCCTGGGGGACCAGGTAAGCCAGGTGGGCCCTGAAGGGAGAAAGGAAAGGCTGTTGTCCAGTTCAGGTTGTTATGTGTGCAGAGGCAGCTGCAGGACACTCCCCTGGATTTAAGGCACAATAGAAAAGAGGAAAGAAGTTTCCTCCAAAGCCAGCAATTTCTCCCCCAGGCAGGCCTCTCCCTTCGATGGAGATCATCTACATCCATGACCTCACTGCATCTTCACAATGATCCATGCGGGAGACCACAGTGCAAGTATTGTCTTTGGTTTACATATGGAGAATGTGAGGCCCAGAGAGGGAAAGTCACCTGCTCAAGGTCACACAGCAACTTACTGCAGAACTGAGATTTGGGATCCAAAGACCCCCCCTCTCCCACAGCAGTGCTCAGCCAGTGCTGGGTCTACCACCTCTCTCTATCACGGGATTCCAGATAGAGAGTTGGGGGTGGAGAGTTGAGGGTAGGGGTGGCCTTCATATGAAATGGTGCCTGGGAGAACACCTCACGGATGCAAGAATAAATGCAAAATTCTCGTTAGATGCAGAGTCATGTTCACAGCCAGGACAGTCTGGCCAGATCACTCAGTGTTTCCTCGGCCAAGCCTGGAGCCCAAGCAGGACCACGTAGCAGTGAGGTTCTGACCTCAGGTGTGAGACAGTTACCCCACAGGCAAGGTTCACGGGAAGGTTCACAGGCAAGGTTCCCTGTGGGAAGGCACCGTGTCCGGGGGACCAGGCAGCTCCAGTCCACCATGTTAGGAGGACCAGTCTTGATGAGGGTGTCAGTCCCAGCACTTCAGGACAATTACATTTCTGGATTTCTGGATGTAAAAAGCTTAGACAGTGTGGTGCAAACCGAAGAAGCAACAGACTTGGAGCTGCCTTTGCATCTCAGCTTGGTGTTTACTGATGGGGTGACATTCAGTGGGTCACTTCATTTCTGTAGGGCCCATTTCCTCTCATGTCAAACAAGAACCCCAGAGTGTCTGTTGAGATAGTTTTTATCAAGACTGAGATCCTGTCCTCAAAAGTATTTTGTAGAGTGCCCGGCACACAGTAGGTGCTCCATAAGTGTTGGTGGCCTCCTTACTCTAGAACGTGGACCCTGCTGATGCCCCAAAGTCTTCCTTTGACAGTCACTCACATACCTTTACTGAGCCCCAGTGAGATGGGAAATCCATGGGCAGTGGGTTAGAGGGAAACGGGTTATTATAACCCCAGAGGCTGAAGACCTGGGGCTTGAAGTCAGATACCCTCAGCATGCGGGTGACTCTCTCCCTCCCCCTGGGTCTGCCTGAGGAAGCTTTCTCTGTCAGGGTGCTTTCAGTGGCAGGCACCCTCCTGAGAGTGAGCTGTCTAAGAACCCCACACTCTGGTCCAGGCTCTCTCATCCTCCCCTAACACAGGCCTGTTCCTCTGAACTGTAGCCCCGGCGTGCCTTGGGGTTGGGGTACTCACCGGTATCATAATCCCCCGATCTCCTTTGGTGCCCTTGAGGCCGTTCAGTCCGGGGCGACCCTGAAACCCACGGGAAACACCTGAGTAACCCCAGCACCCACAGGCCTCCCTTGCATCCATCTCAGGAACACTGATACCTACAGGTCGTCCGGGGAGGCCAAATTCTCCTTTATGTCCTGGTGGTCCTTTGGGCCCCTAGAGGCAAACCAAATAGCAGATTAGAAAAGAATAATTCCAGGTCAGGGAGCCCTGAGGAGCTGGCTGCCTGCCTGCCTGCCTTTGTGGGCAGTATCCACAATGAGCCACTGGCAGGAGGAAGGAGAGCGAGGAATAATGATGAAGTGTCCACCTGTCTGACTCCATGTCACCTGGCCTCTCTGCTCTCAGCTGGAAGCCCCAACTCATCCCCTTCCCTCACATCCTGCTGCAGGCCACACCTCATCCCACACTCTGGACCAACCCTTCTCTGTCAGTCAGGCTAACAAAGAAGTAAGAAAGTCAGGAGCTCTGGCCTCAGCTTCCAGTTAGCCCAGTGCTGGGCCAGCTCAGATAGTGGATCTCAGTCTCATGTCCCAGGACTCCTCATGTCCCCTTTAGGATAATGAGCCTTCCATTGGAACCATGCTGATCTTGTCTGATAATGTCCAGATCTTGGTTCCTGCCTTCCTTCTACCTGCCCCTGAGCACCAGAGTCTTGGCCTGGTCCCCCAGTTCTCCAGGTGAGGCCCATAGCTCCTAGTCTAGTATTGGCTTTCTGGGGTCCAAATGCTTCTTCAGCCACTGCTCTGATCCAACCTCTTGCAGGGATCCTGATGGCCCCAGGCATCTGGATAGCTACAATGCACTGTATCTTCCCACAAGTTCTACCTTGGTCCATACCTTCCATGCCCTGTTTTCCAGGGGGTTGCCTGGCCTCAGCCTCTAGCCATGCAAGCCCTTTCTTCCTGCTCCACTAACACATGCAGCAGGTTCTTCAGCCCTTGGCTGGGAGTTCTTTATTCTCACCCACATTGTAAGGAAACAACGCCAAACAAAACCATGTTATTCCAGGTTGGCATGGTTTTGGTATACATAATTTCTTTAAATTCACAGTTTCTTAGAACCTCTTGACCACATGAAGTAAGGACTTAGTAGAACCACGTGCCCCGGGAAGTGAGAGCTAAAGACTCAACTGAAACAGGCTTTGTCTGTGAGGTACTCAGCCCACATTCCTCTTAGGGAAAGCAAGCAGAGACAGCTATTAATGGAGTACAGGTCACCTGGTGATGCATCCTAGGGCAGAGTTTCTCAAACATCAATGTGCGTAGAAGTCACCTGGGATTTGGTCGAAATGCAGATCCAGTAGGTCAAGGGCAGGGCCTAACATTCTGCATTTCTAACAAGCCCCAAGATGTTGCTGATTCACAGGCCACGCTTTGAATAATGAGGTTTGAGTGAACGTGTTATGGAGTAGTAAGCGATACTAGCCCACACGTAGCTTTATGTAAATTACAAGACGGTGCCCCCTTGCTGTCTGTGCTTGGCAAACTGCAGTGCTGAGTGGCATGTCCATCCATGGCAGCCTGCTGGCCACTGCTGCTAACTACTGGTAATGCCCATGGTACTGAATGTAAGCAGTAACCAGAGGCTGGCAGGACTCTCCCAGTCTGCCTCAGCCCCCAGCCAGCCCTCTCCAGGGCACCCTTTCTGCCTGACATAAGGGACCAAAGGTCTCAGAGGCCCTTGGAATGAAGCACCGTGGAAGCTTGGGGCCCTTCACCAAGGACACGTGTCTGTCATAGAAACATGAGGTCCTTTCTTCCCAGGCCTGACACCCAGCTTCAGCCAAACAAACGCATGCACCATTCCCCCATCCACCTTGCTTCAAGGGTGAAGGGCACGTATTGACTGGAGGTGGTGGGGTGAGATGGGAAAAACCTGGAAAGCCTGACAAGCTGGGTTCAAATTCCTGCTGTGCCACTTACAAGCTGCGTTAGTGGGCAAGTTACCTAACCTGTGTGAACTTGGATTCCTGGTCTACAAAGTGGGGGTTCTGACAGTCACCTCTTAGGATGGTGAGGATGAGACAAGGGGGATCTCTGTGAACTATCAGTGCCTGACCTACAGTAGATGTTCCACATCTTAATATTCTTGCGTCGGGGGAAGAATACAGACAAAGAAGTTTACGGTTAATCCTAACCGATAGCTTCAAAACTGTTCAGCAGCCCAATGGTTATAGATTCCTGGAGCAGAAAAGCAAGATGGCCCTAGGATGTCAGAGTACTTCAACACCCTCCACTTGCAGATGAGAAACGAAAACCCTGAGAGAGAAGAGGACCCAGTTAAGTAAGTATGATCCAAAAATCCCACGGAGTTTTGTGCAGTCCTTTTGAGGGGTTCCCTGGTGATGGCAATCTTTTGCTGGCAACTGTGGTCTAACTGTGCTCAATACCATTCGGTTCTCCTCTTCTTCCTGGACACACACATCTTCTAAATCACATTTCTGAGACCCCTCCACCTTATGTGCACATTAGTTCTGGTCAATGGAATGTGCTAGAAGTGATGTTCATCGTCTTGCATGGCCTCTTCCCCTTCCTCAACCTCAGTTTTCCCATGGGTAAATGCCATCATGGCCTTTAATCTACAAGGTAGCAGAGTCACAGACACAAGTATCCTGGGATCCTGAGTCACTGCTTGGAGGGGAGAAGCCAAGGAGCAGCAACCATAGTAGACTTTGCAAAAACGAGTGGTTATTATGTTAAAGCGCTGTGATTTTTATTTGGTTGCAGCTGGCCTTCTCTAAAACACACACTATTTGCCACATCCTTTTTATTTCACAATTGATATTTCACAACCTAATTGAGTCAAAGTATGATAAAGGCTTCAAATCCCAATCCACACCCAGTTGGGACACTCTATAGCTTACCATTGGTCCTGGGGCTCCATGAATTCCAGGTTCACCCTAAAACAGGGAAACACAGACTTGTCACTCAGAGGAACACTGTGGCAGAAGCAAAGAAGGGATACAGATGTGTACCTTCAAGATCTGCTGACATCATTACCTTTTTCCCCCTCAGTCTTTCCAGAGGAACTTCCCCGGTCAACAGGGAGCCCGGCTCTCCCTTCTCTCCCTGTAATTCAGAGAAACTTGCATGAAGTTGGGGCTCCCCCATGATCATTGCCTTATCGAGGGGCTCACTAGGCCTCTCAGTCCAGATGCCAGGACTCTACTTGCCTTCCTCCTACCCCTCCACCCCCACTCCTTCGACATGACCTCTTGAGAGTATTGCAACAGCCTCCCAAGGGATTGATAGTTCTCTGGGCCAGCCCCTCTGCACACTTTCAGAGTCACTGTGTGAAAGCACAGGCCGGGGTCTTGCATGTCCCTCCAGGGCTTCCCACTGACAAATCAACATTCCCACTCTCTGTCCTTCAGGAACTAGCCCCCAACAAGCTCCCTGCCACCTCTTGTTATATGACCCCTCTAGGAATCTTGGCTCCTCATATATTTGGGGGCTTGCTTTCCTAATAACTTGACTTGATATCTGTTCCCACCAAGAAGCCTTAGTTTTGTTAAAACACCTGAAATTGGGAAAAAGACAAGATATGAATACGATAGGCCTTTCTCAACACAGGGGCCCTGTATCCCCCTGGGGAACTCTAACTCCGAACTCCAGGTTCTCAGGAATTGATCACTGAATTGATCAGGCAGAGCTATCTCAATGTTGGGAAACAGATAGAAGGGTAAACTGGTGGCAGAGACACAGGATTCTTCCTTGAATACTGTCCTCAGCAGAGCCATCTACTATCTTAGGAGGCTTCCAAGAAAACGTATATCTAGAGAAAAGGCCAGGTGGAGGAACCTTCTGTATCACTCTGGGGTTTGGTCCCCAACCTTCAATATTGGCACTTGGTGGGCTGGGCTGAACACACTGAAGCAACAGGCCAGAGGCAGCCAGGGAAGTGTGCCAAAGCAAGCAGAGCAGCCTCTTCTCTCCATCCCCCTAAAACCACACCTGATATTTGCATCTTACCCCTTGCTGGTGAGTAAAGGAGGTCCTGAGCACGCCAGCAGCAAGAAGAAGCAAGCACAAAAGCATTAGAGGCAGAGTGAGAGGAAGTACATTAGCTCTATCAGCAGCAACAGAGCTGCCCAGGCACCTATCTCAGCAGGAATGGCATATAGGCCCCCCTCACTCCTTCCGACCTCGCCCCACAGTAGACAGTGTTCAAAGTAAGGGCCACCCTTGCTTGATTAGCCTCCTCCCATGCTGCACATGCCTTGGGCCCATCCTATCTCTGTAGACCCACAGCAGCAAGAAGCTTCCCAAGATATCACCCCATGTGGAGTCCAACTTAGACCCCTTGGCCAACTCACAGAACCTTTTCCCACACCAAATTATGGCCCAACAGACACTGGAGCCCCAGTGTGGCAAGGCAGTGGGAAAGAAGAAAGAGAAAAACCTATCATTCTCTCCTCTTACAGACACATCCGTCCCCCCTTGACAAAGCCCTGTGCAGGCTCCAGGGCTGCACAGCACCCCAAGGCTTTGAACAGACCTCCGTTACAACAGGGACCATGCTCTCTGTTGGATCCTTGCATATCTGTTCTTCATATTTTATTTCTATATCCCTAGTGCCTAGGAGAGGAAGCTGGCTATCCCTGGAGGCTCAATGGATGAAATATGGATGAGCACATAAATGGGTAGATGAATACATGGACCAATCCAGAATCTCTGTGATCTCTTTATGGATGTCATTCTCTCATTATCTATAAAAACTAACTGGGAAGTTAATGCTAAGAAGCAACAGTCAGTCCAGTTCTGGGCAGTTCTCAGCAAGGGCCATTCATGCTAAATATCTATTCCAAAGATCTTGGCCCAAGACTGCTATCCAGCTGCAGAAAGCCCAGACTGATCATTCCCAAATATCAGCATTCATTGCATTCATTTTCATCCAACAAATGTTTTGAGTACCAGGTCCAGTGCTAGGTACTGGAGCTGGCTCTCAGAGAGAACACACTCGAACCTAGGTGCCCAGCAGGCAGGTTGACCAAGCACAGCACATGTGAAAACAGCATTCACGGAGGACTGGGTTAAATGCTTTTTATAAACTGATGAAAATCAGTATCTCCATTCACAACCCACCTTTGCCCTGGAGGAACCTTGAGATTATTATAAAAGTTAACAGCTGTGACTGCTAATAGATATGGAATTTCTTTTTGGCACTAAGAAAATGTTCTAGAATTAGGTAGTGGTGAGGGTTGCATAACTTTGCTATACTGTAAATCACTGAACTTTAAAGAGATGGATTTTATGGCATATGAATTAGAGTTTAAACTTAAAAAAAGTTAATAGCTACTTTTAACCAATCTGAAATATTCCAAATTCTGGAATACAATCTCACCCAGATACCTGGGTTTCTCTTACCTGTTCTCCTTTCAGTCCTGGAAAGCCAGGCACACCAGTGTCACCTTTTGGTCCTCTGGGGCCCTGGAAAGAATCATCAGAGTCTTGAGTTGTTTGTCAAGATTTTAAAAAATTTTAAGCAAGCGGAAGTTTTATATTGTTTTCCAAAAAGTAGAATAAAGAATGCCAGTCCCCTAGTGGGAGGGAGTCATAATTAGCCATGAAGTTTTTCTAATTTTAAGTGGTCAAGAAATTGTGGTCTGGTGGAGAGATAACAGACTGAGTGTTAGGAAGCTGGAGGCCCCATGCCTGTTTGAATTTTGCTTTCCTCTAAAGGGCACTATTGACACAGCCTGGTCCTGCCGTCTCTGCTCATCCCATGGGGCCTCCAGGCCATCCTGCAGCCTGCCTCCTCCCATCATTCACCTTCCATGCCTCACTGCCTTTCCCTGGCTCCCCACTATCTCTGGGGTGTCATGCAAATATCCTAAACTAACATCCACACCCAGCCCAACCAACCACAGGACCTCACCTTCTATCCATCAAACTGTGGAGCCGAGCCTTTCCCCTTAACTTCTTGAACATTCCCGCTGCCTCTGCACTTTGGCTCATGCAGAAATGCCCTTCTCTCCCTATGCTGGGCCAAATTCTGCACTCCCAGTTCAAGGTGACCTCTTCTCAACTCCAACACACTTTTTATCTGTGACAATAACTCACACAGATGTCTGCCCCCAAAGGCATTACTTAGCTTTTCACAAGTTCCTGTCCTGTCTTCTGGGCTAAAGGGTGACTTACCCATGAGACAGAGGCTTTCAAATAGTAATTATTTTTTAACAATGAAACTCTTCTCACTCTTTTTTCCAAATACAGTCTTAAATGAAGTTTCAATAAATACATTATACCAAATGGGGCATCCTTACTGGAGGTCAATGGCCTGGCTCCTGCCTATTTGCCCCACTCCTTACTCCCTGTAGTGGCTTGTGGGGCTCTCAAGAGTCAGGGGCTCCCCTGGGAACACAGAACCAGTTATTTAGAGGAAAATGTGTCGGGAACATGCTCTGAATTTGCAGCAGCCAAGCTGGGGCTGAGCTCAAAGGTCTGGCCTCCATTCTTCCTGGCCAAGGGGTCCCTCTGTGACTGGCATTCCTGCCTATGGATTTTTTTTTTCCTCCTCAGCTTTTTAATGTCTAGTTTACATGCATTTTTAGTATCATCATAGGACACATTCTTTTTAGAAAAATGTATAACGTTAAGAAAGAAGTCACTTTAATTCCACCATCAAGAATACATTTCTATTGCATTTTTGATAAATGTCCTTCATTTATCCTGGAGGCAGTACAAGTCACCTTTGGCATCACGTGTTTCTGAGGTGCAGTGTCTTGAAGAAATTATACAGCTCTCACTCTAAGCTAGGCCTTGGGCTTTAGCACAGCCTCAAACATTTATATAAAATTGATCATCTTCTACACAGAAATGCACTTTCATCTTCCATGGTGAAGCCCCATAGTGGGGCTCACAGACTATCAGGATTGGATTTCTATAAGCCCATGATAGTTTTCTTCCCCTCATCTAATTTCTTTAGGAACATTATCTACTTGGAATCTATCTACTTGAAATGTCTGACTCAACCACTCGTATTCATAGAAGCCAACCACCAGCTCCAACATCTGTGGTCTCTGGAGCAGCGAGATGAGCAAGACCCGACTCTCTACAAGTTGCAAGTCCAGAAAACAAAGACAAGGGCACAAACAAGCATTATTCAAGGTGTCACCACACCCCTGAACCACTGCAGAGGTGAAAATAAAGGAGGGAGCGATCCCTCCAGGCAGAGGCAATGAAGAATGGTTACATGAACAAGATAGTGCCAGAGTTCGGTTTTGCAGATGAGAAGAAGGGCATTCCAGGTAGAAGGGGCACAGCTGCAGGGCACAGAGGAAAGACAGTTACTGTGGTACTTACCGGAAATCCTGGCAGCCCAGGGATACCATTCGGTCCCTGTGACACACAAAGACAAATCAGTCAGGTTAGAATTGTCATTTTCAGGGTCAGAAGGAACGCCACGCCACGGGAGCCCACGCCCTCCCAGAGGCCTAAACATGTTCCCACGCAGAGGGGCTCAAGGTCCACTTTGCAGAAGAGAATGGGAGACCTCAAGGGAAGGGCCTGGTAAAGTCACACAGTGACGAGCCATGAACTGCTCTGGCGCCCAACACCCCTGCCCCCCAGCCAGAACCCCCTCACTTTAAGTTGCAGCCTCCTCAGGGAAATCTTGTAGGGGCTGAAACATCTAGAGGCAAGAATGCAGCACTTGGAAGCAGAACAAATAAACCCTGAGGAGTGGGCCCAGAAGGTGAGCTGGGGTACTTGGGGGTGGAAGTGGGGCATGTTGGGGAAACTCAGCTCCTTTTCCCCAGTGGGAGTGAGAATGGAAAGATCCTGGAACACAGAGCTTGTAGTTCACTCCAGGACTCTCCCTCCCACCAGCCTAGACCCACATGCCTATTAGAGCAGAGGAGTTTAGCAGAATATAGATAGAAAGAGATGACAGGATGACAAGCTTCCTGATAGAATGTGTATAGACAAACCCAGGAGAGGCTGGGACTTAAATCCTCTCGGGGAGGGAACTACCTCTGAGGAGGAAAAGCCTGATGCTCCATTAGGCTGGATCAGGATGAAAGGATGAAGAAGATGCTTGAGGGCCTGGATTTGCCCAAGGAGGACAGTGATTGGGAAGGGGTGGAGAGAGAGGGGTGGGGGTGCAGACATGTAGGCAGACAAAGCCCAGAACTCGCAGAACAGGGATGCTGAATCTTGGAGCACAGGCCGTCTGTGATTTGCTACCACCCTAAATGCTAATCATTTGAGCAGAACCATGATTCTCTGTGAATGGGGTTTTTTCTGGTTAGCTTGTTTGCTTTAGGGTTTATTGGGGATGATCAGTAGAAACCCAGTGGTTGGGGTGCAGAGGGAGTGAGACAACCCACCAAGAGGTCACTCAGCAGGGAAACCTCCCAGATACTCGCAGAAATCTTGAGGAGGACAGCAGGCTTTCCCCACGATGTGGGGGAGGGGGGTTCAGATCAACCTTCCTGGGGACTGCAGGCATGGGTGGCCCCAGTGGACACTGAGCTACACAGCTGTGGGTGGACAACCTCAATCTCACATCAGCTAACATAGAACACCAGTGTACAAAGCAGTTTCAATCCATCACCTCTTACAAGCTGCCCCAAAAGCTGCTGAGGTGTCATCAGAGAAAAGCATCAGAGGCTCAGGGTGGAGATGGGACTGGGACCCCAAAGTTCCTAGGCCTGAACTCTTTCTCTTCCAGATGCTGGAAGATGCAACAAGGGTTTACTGCACAGGCTGCAGGAGGAAGCCTCCTTCCTCATAAAGAGGTGCCAGGGACTGACTGTGGCCTTGTAGAACAGTGCAGCTTCTCTGTGTGTTTCCACTCTCTATAAAAGGGCTAGAAAAACCAAACAAGCCCTGGTCCCTTTTCCTGCACCACTTTCCCATTAGCACAAGGAAAGGTCATTAGCAGAATGAGGGGCGCTTTGCCTTCTGTGAAATGAGATCATGCCAAAAGCATCGCACAGATGGCAACTGGTTTGTTATGATTTTCTGATTTCCATCACACATATTTCTCATGCACAGGACTGGAAGCTTCCACTATATTGGCTAAAACTCCTCACATAATCAAATTAATGTGACAGCAATTTTTCAGAAACGCAAAGTTCTCTTTCCATTGTACTTTGATACAATCTAGTTCCTTCAGCAGCTAAAAGAGTTCCAAACCAACATGACAGCAGAGGCATCTGGGTAGGAACCTGACTGTAAGGCAGTTGTGGATACACACCGGAGGCCCCATGAGCTCAGGGATGTCCGAGAGATTCATGAATCCCTGGGTGATGTTGATCAAGGACTGAAAAGAGAAAAATCAGACAATGAGACAGACACGAGTTCTGCCTGACTCCCAGCAGCAAGGCGGTAACTGAAGTCACCTAGCATGGCAGATACTGAAGGCATCTGAGACCCGCTGCTAACACATCTCTCCCTCCCATCTCTTAGAAAACAGCCCTGAGCTACCTGCTTTCCTCTTTCCATTAATCTTAAGATTGCACAATACATTAATACGCTCTGTCTTTGACAAATGTGAATATATAGACATATATATGCATGTGTATACCCATAGACAGCACATGTTGCTGGTGTGTGTGTGTGTGTGCGCGTGCGTGTGTGTGTGTGTGTGTGTGTGTGTGTGTGACCTTCTTTCCTGGCTAGAGAAGTGGAATGGCCTGTTTTGAGTTGTCCCCAAATGCTACCACCCAGAAAAGATTGTTCTGGGAGCACTATATGAGAGAAGAATGGCACTGGGATAGGGTCAGTCAGTTGGGGTGCGGTGCAGGGAGGTGGAAACGCCAGTGTCAGAGGCTAGCTAGGTGCCCCCTCCCAGCCATCCTGAAGGCCCTGAAATTATGGATATCCTTCTCCTGCCTTTGGCAAAAGCAGAAAATGTGCAGTCAAGCTCTGACCTGGATGATACTCACACTAGGCAAGACCTCGATGCGCCCTGGCGGCCCCCTGGGCCCAGGGGGCCCCACGGTACTGGCTCCATCCATCCCTCTGTCACCCTGAGTACCACAGAGAGAGAAAAAAATTCACTGCACCTGAATAACATCCCTAGAAGGAGGCTGAAAAGCTCATGACCCCCACCTCAGATCTGTGACCTCACCTTGGGTCCCTGGTCTCCTTTTTCTCCTTTGAGACCCTGGCAAAACAAACAAAAATTCTTTGGTTTTCTTCTATTCCCTTTGCTCACTCTCCGTTCTGCCGTTTTCCCTTAAGCTGCTGCACTGATGTTGCCCCAGGCAATGAATTCAAGGGTGGCGGCAAAAAAATCCCTCTCCAGAGTCAGAAGAAGCAACACCCACACAGGTTCAAGGACCAGGGGCCCTCTTCCAGGATGGGGCGAGTGTCCTCGACCGGAATCTCAGAGCCCCCTGCCCCCTAATCTGGGCAAGGCAGAGCCTTCCTTCACTCGTGGAGGGAGTTGTGCGGTTTCCCCGCCCCTGCCAGCGAGGCTTAGAGCTCAGCCCTGGGCCACTTGACAAAGATAATGAGAGCCCGGGAAATGGTCCTCTCAGAGCAGGTATTATAACACGTGGATGACACCTCCCAGGGCCCAGGTGCAGCGGGCGGGGACACCTGTTCCTCAGAGGCGAGGGTCGTGAACTGGGGCGCAGTGTGAGCACTGAATGGGAGCAGTGAGGTAGAGCTGCTGGGTGGTAAAGGGCTGCAGAAAGAAAGAAAAGGACAAAGTTTTCCCACATGATGTGTGCAAAACCCATGGCGCTCCTTAACGAAACAGAGCACCCAGTCCCCCGTACAGTGCAGCTGGTGGCTGGAGGCAGGGAGCGGGTGACTTGTTGAAAGTGGCAGAGCCAGATCCTCCACCACCTCACTCCAGGTCACAGCGGGACAACCCTCCAAACGACCGTTTCAAAATTCAACCTACATTTGAAGCTGTTGGTCCACAGATTCTGGGCTTGTTCAACACTGTGCTGCTTCCAGAGCCTTCAATCTCCTTGGGAAGGAAGAAGAATGAGAATTTCAGATCCAATTCCTGAGCACCTACTGGTGCCAGGCATGGTGTTGGCAGCTGGGGCTCAGCGGGGACTCCACACAGCCTCTGCCCACAGACCAATGTTCACTTAGCTGGTCTTCCTAGCAGCCCCTAGGTTACATGGTTTCATAACCCGAGAAAGGGGAAATGTACCTCAAATTCAAGTTCCATTGTACATCCCGGGCCTGGGGGGCCTGGGGGGCCTGGAGGCCCCATGACTCCAGGAGTGCCAACTTGTCCATGTTTCCCGGGAAGTCCTGGTTTGCCTCTGATGCCCGGATCACCCTGTAAGGAAGAGGTAAGTCTGATGATCCTGCCCTGGGCCCACTCGTGGAGCAACATACATGTCTGGGTCAGAAAATCGTTCTTTGAACCTAATTAGGTTGAGGAATTCTCAGATGGGCGCTGTTAATGGCACAGACACAGCTGTCCTGCCAGTTGCCATTCACTGCCATTCAGAAAGTCAAGCAGGGCCCTCACTCCCGCCATCTCCAGCTGCTCTACACTCCTGAGCACGTCCTCTGCTCTATGCCACCTTCCAAACTCTAGTCCAACAGCCCAATTACAGGAAACCTAGAGACAGGAGAGGAAGGAGGAAAGAGTCCCCCCCCCTTTTTTTTTTACCTTTTCACCAACTGAGCCATTAGGTCCTCTTGCTCCCTGGAAGGGGAAAAATTTCAATTTATATATATATTTTTTCTGCATTTTCTTCTGATCATAACTAATATATATATAATGATATATAGTTATATAATTATATATATCATTAATTATGATCAGAAGAAAATGCAGAATTATAGACTCTTGAGTATTAGGATGTTAAAATGGAACCCTTCCTGTCTCTATTTTGGCTGATGTCTCAAACTTGAGTACATTACATTAGTTGTCAGTGTTCCAGGAAAGTCATGCTAAAAGCTTGGGAAGCCCATTTTTCGACTATTAGCTCATCACCTACCTCTAGAGTAAAAGAAGCTGGAGATTAACCAGGGAGTGGATGCAGAGGAAGAATTCACACAACTGAAGCGGTTTTCCACCCCCTTCCTTAATGGAAGCAAAGGGCTGCTTCCCCTACTCAAACCCAAGGGCAGGGGCCCCAAGAACTTGATATATATTCCACAGACTTTTAGAAATTTGTGGAATGATGATGGTTCTCTTCTGGAAAACTCTAAGACTAAAAACTGGCCGAGTGGCCCCAGGAGACAGAATGTGAGACAGGGGCATTGCATTGGAGGAGGTTGTGTGGGCCCCTCCAGAGAGGACCATGGTACAAATTTCCTAGGGGGATTAGATGTGGATCCCACAGAAAGGAGTCAGCTGTGAGCTCTGAGCAGGGGGCAGGAGTAATGGGGGCTGGTGGCCAGGAGGGGTCAGCCACAGGAGACAGTGCCTCCCATCAGGGACTGTGGCAGGGGCCCTCAGCTGGACAACCCCTGGGGAAGCCTCAAAAGCATCTGCAAGACAAGGAACCAGTAACTGCACGGCCACGCAGAAGACCCTGCCACCTGCATATGATGTACCTCCCATCTTAGGCTGGTCCTTTCCCCAATCTCTGCTCTCCCTGCGCTGGAATCTCCTTCCTAAATCAAATCCATGGAAATGACACAGTGGAGAGTTCCAAAATAGTTATGCTCAAAAACAAGATGGTGAGTCACCTTGAAACTGAAACAGTGAGAAGGAGCAAAGGGAAAACAGATGGGAAGCTGAGGTCTGAGGTTTCAACAGTGGGAGAAAAATATTGGCAAAGTGGTAGCGGAAGCCAGGAGTGGGGACAGGGGGTCTGATAGGGAGAAAGGCCGAAATTTCAGAGCAGGACAGCCATTGAGTCCTGCCAGCTTCCCTCACTTCCTGCGCCTCTCTCCTATGGCAAGAAAAACAAGAGTTGTTTATGGGAACAGAGATAGGACTGAGCTCCAGGTAGCTAGGGAATCTTGAGATCTCCAGGGTATCCCAAATGCCTAAGCCCAATTGTCAGGGTGCCCCACTTAATGGCATGTGCTGCTCCTCCCACTCCCTTCCTGAGATCTGCACGTCTCACAAATAGTCATTGCCCACCTGCCCACCAATCTCTACACCAGAGGCAGAAAACGGACTAGAGAGGGATTCTGATATCAAAAACAAAGGCCCAAGCAAAAAACACCAGATATCTAAGGAAATACTGGGAAAGAGAGGCAGCAAGTGAGATGTCTGCCCACAAAAATGAATTAAGAACACAATCCAACAGAGACTTTGAATGTACAATACACATTCTCAGACGAAAGAGAGGGTACTGCAGTCATGAAACAAGGACAAGATATTAGGAAATAAGAACAGCGGTCTGGAAAGGAATTAACTAGAGATCTTAGAAATGAAAATATACAGCTGCTGAAAGGAACAGCACTATGGAAGGACTGCATGTCAGAAAGGATGCACCTGAAGAGAGAATTACAGAAAGAATCAGGCAAAGAATTCTCTTGGAAAGCAACACAGAGGATAAAGACCTAGGAAGAATGACCGAAAAGTTACAGATGCAGAAGAGAGAACCAGAAGCTTGGCATCTGCTCAACTGGAGTGGCACAGGGGTGAATAAGGAGAATAGAAAGAAAGCAGTCATCAAAAAATAATAGCAGAAGTTTTCTGAAAAACCTGAGTTGCTCAATTAAAAGGCACTTCTTTCCTCCCGGCCCCCAAGGCCCTGCAAGTCCTGAGAAGGGTGGTTTTAAAAAGAATCTACATCTACTTATGATAGAGGGGAATTTCAAAACACCAAGACTAAAGGAAAATAAGTCCCAAAATCTGCCAAAGAGAAGTCAGATGACCGTCAATGGACAGATCAGCGTGACCTCTCACCCTGCCTTGGTGTTAGCAACACTGGACGTGAGGCCATGGAGGGTCTCTTCAAACTACCAAGGGCAAGTCACTTTGACCCTAGGATTCCATATTTGGCAAATGAGAGTATATCAAAGACATTTTTAAAGATTCAAGGTCTCAGACAGTTTGCCCTACACAGATCCTCCTTTAAAACACAAAGAGAGGATATCCTCCACAAATTAGACACAACTTAGAGACATGAAGCCATGAAAAATGTGTTCATATTTTACTTTTATAACAACACTAATTTTGAAAGTGTCAGACCGCAGTTGCTCTGTCCCTCCACCTAACAGCCAGGATGCTCCATGTCCAGACTCTGCAGGGACCCAGGTAGAATATCAGCAGCCAAGAGGTTGTGCAGGGACTGTCAGTGTGGACCCTTTGGGACCCTAGGCAAGGAACAGCCTACACAAAGTGCCTGGGAGGGATGAGAGAGAGAGATGCTTGATACTAAAGAATAATATGAGTGATTGAGACTGTGAAAGAAGGGATAAACAGGTGCCGCTGTTAGTTCCAGGTATGCACGGAAATCCTGGATGGGGGATTCTGAGGTGCAAAGGGCAAAAAAAGTTTTTTGGAGGTCCATCTCTGGCAAGTTCTTCAGCATCCTTTCCAGAAGCATTCTGTGGCTGGCAAAGCAGGTTATCCCTTGCTTATTCCTTCATGAGGTAAAGATCTCAGCATTAGCTGCCCATCTTAATTTGGGGGGAAATCAATTAAGGAATACTTCTATCATAGAACCCAAAGTAGAATAATCTGATAAATTCCCAAGGACCATCCACATTTTGATGATAATTCCACATTTGATAGTGATCACATATAATGCTTTTTTTCCAGCCAAATAAACTGGACCTTATTCTCTGTGGGGGAGATGTCTACTTTAGACAGCTGTCTGGACTGCTCTATGTGCTCACAAGTGAGAGACTAGGCTGGATTCCTGGCCCCCTGGGGAAAGCCCTTTTTACTAGCATCCATGCAACCTGGAAGGGCACCACCCAGGCAAGAAGCAAATCTCCCCTCAAGGGAGGTGTGCATGCTGGAGAGCAGATGTTGAGGAGGAGGGGTCAGATCAGTGATGCTGGGCTGTACCCCTGGGACTATTCATCTTCAGCATGTTTTTGTTATTTTACATCCAGACCATGCTCGCTGGTTTACCACTGTTTCCTAAGTAAATACCACATGCTCTCCATGTCTCCAGATGCAACCCTTCCAGGTTCTTCCAGAATCTTGTTATAAAGACCAGAAAGCTTCATATACACACAGTGCGACAAATTAGGACTCACAGCAAATTTCAGGGGGAGCAAAGTGATTTCTCTCCAACAATTATCCTGGGGAAGCCAGCTGAATCTCCCGGCAGCTGCCGAGTGCGCCTGCGCTGTGTCTGTGTGCAGATGTGAGCTCGAGTATTTTTAGGTGCCAGACGAGCAGTGGGAGGGGTGTGCGGGGGCGGGTGGGGGGAAGTGCTAAAAAGAACAGGGAAGATGAGTGTAGGTCTGTGATGTTTCCTGCAAAATTTAATTTCTTATGAAATAGTTGGTACATGTAAGATGAGTTCTTACAAAGCTTGACAACTATTTCTTCTTTTTCTGAAAAATGAGCTTTCCATGAAAATCGAGTTACTGTTTCAACTAGAATAAACATACTTTTGGGCTCATAGAAACTGGAAATTCAATTCAGGGAGGATGGTGATGTCTAGGCAGTCTGTATTTTCCCGGACTTTTTCCAGGTGGGGTGCACAGAAGGCCCCGCTTTCTGTCTCAGCTGGAAGGGAACCTCTTGCCTCTGAACCCCAGTAAAACTTACAAATGCTTCATTAGATGGGCTCACCTCATCTTTAGGGTTCCCATCAGCCAGGCTGGGACCGCTTGGAGGGACAGGGACCCCACCCCACAGCACCAGTATGGGGCTGGCAGACAAAAGACAGGACAGGCTTACAGACAGATGAAGGCAGGGAGGACATGGGAGATGCGGGAATGGAAGACACAGAGGTACCCAAAGGAAGTTTTATTCCTGCATCAACCATTAACAGAGACCTGTGCTGGTATAAGGAGATACAGACAGCCCCAATGCTCTTGGTTTGCCAGGGTGGGGTGGGGAGCAAACAGGTGAGCTAGCAGCTTCATGTCATTGGCTAAGAGGGGTCCTGGCAAAATAAATACTGTACAATAAAAAGTTGAGGAAGGGGGGTGCTTTCTGCTCAAAGAATTGGGGAGCACTTCCCAGAGGCTATATCTGAATTAGGCCTTGGAGAATGAGAAAAGCGAAAGGACAGCGAGGATGCCAGGTGCAAAGGACAGGGGGCTGCAGAGAAGAACAAGCCTGGAACATTCCAGCAGGACTGGCTGGTGCTCAGAGGCTGTAAGAGATAGTCCTGGGAGAAAGTGCTAGAAAGGCAGTTCCAGAAGGGCTCTGAGGGCTGCATATAGTTAGGGTGCTGTCCTGCATCAGTGGGGAGCCAGTGGTAGTTCCTTTCAGTGGAGAGGGCAGTGGCTAACTAGATAGGGCAAGAGGCTGGACAATGGGTGGAGAGAATGGGGCACGGGTGAGGATCCTGAGGCTGCGATGCAGGGGAGGGCGAGCCATATGGACGTCAGCTGGGCCAGTTTTAGCAAGATCTGAATCACAGCAGGAAAGGGAGTTGGGGAGGAGTGAGGGAAGACTTTGATGCTGAGTTCAGGTGCCTGGGGAGATGGCGGCGCCTATCACTGAGGCTGGGAACAGGCAGAGGAACAGGGAAGATGCTGAGTTCAGGTGTGAGCATAAGAACCCTGCGATGGGAACCCCCAGCAGAGAGGAGCGAGAGGGGATTAGAGAGGGAAGCGATTAGGAGGCAAGGTCAGGCTTAGGGGACAGAGAGGCAGGGCCGGTGTGGGGCTGCCATGTGCCAGAACCCTCCCACCTTGCTCATACCTTCTCCCCTTTCATTCCGGGAAGGCCAGAGGCTCCATCAGGTCCAGGTTGTCCCTCGGGGCCCTGGGGGAACATCCAGAACAATCAGCCCAGGACACTTCTGATGACAATCAAACACAAACAAACCCTTCCTGGAAAAGGTCAGAGCTGGGAAGGACCCGCGGATGAGGCGGTGGGTCCAGGGCCTTGTACCAGATCCACGGTGGACTGCCAGCCCCGCAGTTGGCCGTGCACCTGTGGGAGAGGGTCCTTTGCTCTCTGGGTGGCATTTTCCCCGCGTGGGGGCCAGGGGAAAGGTTAAATTGGATGGTCTCTGAGGGACCCCAGGCTCAGCACAGGGTCCTGTGGGTCCAAGAGCCTACATGAGTCTGCACTTCTTTCACTGACCAAGATGAAGTGGCAAAACAGTGTGTAGGACGATGTTTTTCTTGGCTGCTTATCAGTCTCAGCAGCAACTCAGGAGGAGGACTTTGGGGGTGCGGGACACAAACATTCATTAGCTGTTCTCTCCCAACGGTGAGCCTGAACTCTGGAGTCGGCAGTACACACACCCCTCTGTAGCTAAAGAAAGCCCCACAGCCACAGAGAGGGGGCGACAACTTCAGAGGCTCACCGGGGGCCCAGGTTCACCAGCAACTCCATCCTTTCCAGGAGATCCAGGAGGCCCCGTGAAAATATCAGTTCCTGGTGTGCCTGGAATCCCAGGTACTCCAGGTGGGCCCGGGGGGCCGGGAGGACCCTAAAAAACAGACATTCTGTTAGGAAGCAGCAGAGAGGAGGTAAGTTATACCATGCACATATGTTCAGCTCATTGCCGCCAGTCTTCACAACCCGACAAATAGAAACCGTTGTTCCCAATCAGCAGACGGGGAACTGAGGCTCAGAGAGCTTGGATGATTTCTGGAGGGCTTACATACACTGCTTGTTAGTAGAAGAGCTGGGATTTGAATCCAGGTCTTTCTGAGTCCATTATATCATGTTTTCTTCCTCGATGAGGTTATACAATCAAAACCCAGTGGGAATTCTCAGAGGTACTCTGGCTAATTTCATTTTCTGATTGAGAGTTCAGTCAAAGACTACCTGCAGTTCGAACCCTTTTTGTTAAAAATTTCCTGAAACAAGCTAGTGTCTTTAGTCTCTGGCTGGCGTGGCTGTTTCCACCAGTGGGAAGATCCTTCAGCTCCCTCTCCTCTCACCCAGTCAGGCCAGACCCTTCCAGCTTCCCACGAGGACTGAGCAGAGGGGCAGCACTGGAAACTTCTAGGTGGGGGTGGGGCCCAGGACTTGGAGGAAGAGCTGGAGATGAGCCTGGGTTATGGGGGGTGGGAGGGGCACCGCTGCAGCTGGAGAAGGGAGGTGCTGCCCAGGGGTGACTTAGAGGGCCCAAGGGCCGAAGTAGGAGAAAGCGTGGTCTGGACAAGTAGGAGAGGATTGCAGCAGAACAGGGAGGATTTCACGAAGAGTCTGGAAGCTCAAGTGTGAAATGCTAGCTGGAGAAGAGGCCAGGGGTCTCTGAAATAAGGGAGGGCATTGGAGGATAAAGCTTAGTTGGAGAGGGGGAGGGCCTGAGTATACTCAGGGTGAGCCTACAGTCCCCTGGAGAGGGCTTCCAGGGAAAGGAAGAAAGTGACGAAATGGATGGAAATTTAAGTTCAGACTCAGAACAAAACCAATCAAAGGGGAAAATGCCAAACACTTACAAAAGTAGAGAGGACAGTCTAAAGACGTCCACGCCAATGTCAACAAGTATCAATGGTGGCAAATTTACTTTCATCTGGTATCGCCCCTAGATGCCACCCTTTCCCCCATTACTGGAGGTGATCCCAGACACCAGGCCCTTTAACCCTTCACACTCACCCTTAATAGCTCCTCGCCGAGCACCAGGTCACCGGAGCCAGAGCCCATGCCTGAGCCCCAGGCCAGGCCAGAGCCCTCAGCCTCCACTTCTACCTGCAGAGAAGCAATTCCCACAACTTGGTTTCAACTGCCACTCCAAAGACAGCCCAAACTGTCCCCAACAGTTTTCCCATGTTCTGAAGTCCTCTAACTTCTCCGAACTTTCTTCCTGCCTTTTCTCGCACTCCTCCCTATAGCTCCCCACCTCCTTCTCGGCCTCACAGCCTGTCCTCGGATGCTTTCACGTCTTCTGCTCTGCCTCCTTTTGCTGCCTTTCAAATCTCCACTCATCCTTCAAGACCAGGTCCATGGTCGCTTCCTCGGTGAAGCCCCTCCCCACCCTTTTGCAGGCAGAATTCATGTCTCCTGCTTCTGTGTTCCCACAGGCTTCTGCTGAAGTCTTGATTTGGTACCAAGATGGCCTGACTTTAAGTTTAATTGTGTGCGTGTCTGTCATGCCCTCCAAACTAGGACTCCCCAGGGTGGGCCCCATCCTGAGGCCCCCATGGTGTCCAGTCTCCTCCGAGAAAGCACTCAGAGCTTATGTGTTGGATGACACCAAATTCCTCCAAAGAACAAAAGGCAATGCCAGATCACCTTCTGGTGCTTCGTTCCAAAAGACAGGAGGCAGTGCGTGCGCATGCACAGTGCCCCCAGGGAGGCTGCAAGGAGGAGCTGTGGGGTTTGGCGCTGGGTTAGGAAGGTGGCAGCGGTGTGTGCATGTCAGTGGGAAAGGAAGATGTTGACACGGAGGTGTTGTCATCGTCCAAGGGACAAGGGGCACCACACACCTAGACAACTTGGGGACTGAATGGTCGGGGGAGGGCCCCTCAGGGGGATGCTGTGTGAGAAGCAGGTTTGGCTGGTGGTGACAAGCCCATTTTGGCCCGTGATTTGCTTGAGGGCCCTGTGAGCCGTTGAGCGCACTGGCTATAAATGGGACTCAGCCCCTCGGTTCACCGAGGGCTCCAGTCCAGGCAAAAGTCCGGAGGTCTGCTTGGGAGGCCCTTGGGTGCTGACAGCAAGAATACCCTGTGGCTGCTTTACTGCTGCAGAGGCGGAGGTCCCTGTTCACTATACCGAACATGAGCCGGGTGGGAATCTCACCTTTGGTCCAGCAGGTCCAGTAGGTTCAGGGGGACTGGTAGGTCCAACTGCAAGCTAAAGAGAAGCAACTGGTCAGTGGAATGTTGGACACCCCCTCCCACTGTCCCTCGCCTCTCAGGGGAAACTGTCATCTTTAAGATCAGGCTAGCACAGGAGTTAAGGAGTGTTCTTTATGAGCCAGGACAAGGGCCACTTTGTTTCTGCACCACACAGATGAGGTGATGGACTGGTCGGCAGCACTGTGGACAGGGTTGTAACCCAGGGTCCCCCCCAGTCCTAAGGTGCTCACCCCTACTCTACTGCTGGGTGACCTTGAGCACATGCCTAACCCTCTCCAGGCCATCTGCAAAATAATTCTATGTACCTAATTTATTGAGTATTTATTTTGTGCTAGGTAAAGTTTTCCATTTACAAACTCTCTTAATCCTCACCACAACCCAAGAGGTAGATAGCGTGATCGCCATTTTGTACAAGAGTAAACTGAAGGAGGTGAAGAAATTTGTCCCAGATATTTGGCAGACAGGCTTGGATACAGCCTCTCACTGCCTTGAGTGACTCTGACATTTATAGTGGTCCTAAGAGCATTTCAGAGTGGATCCAGAGTGGGTTCAGAGTGCATCCAGAGTGGGTCCAGAGTGGGTCCAGAGTGGGTCCAGAGTGGGTATTTCCTGACTGTCCTCATTGTGTTTTTCAACCATTGGCTCAGGAATCGTGGCATCTGGTCAGCGCATCCCAGATCCTCACATGGGCATTTGGGGTAGGAGTGGGACCTAGATTCATTAGTTATATAGATAGGATGACACTGAGTGCTCATTTTTACCTTTTCCTCTCCCACCCCCAGAGCTTTTAAAAACCGTCATTGTCACTCTCATAAAGCCCCCATGATGGAAACGTAATGTGCAACAACTGCTAATATTTAGGGACAGTATTTCTTTCCAGGGTTTTTGCAACTATCTATTTTTAAATAGTTAAGACCACACAGTACATTCAAGGTTTTAACCAGCTGTTTTCACTTAACATTCCCCCCATCCTTAAATACTCCTAATAAGCATAGTTTCAATAACCGTATCTGCTGCATTATTTGAATACACTTTAATTCAATCCCCCCCGCCCCGCCGTCTGTTAATTGAATGATTTCCTTTTTTTCCCGTTACGGACAATACTGATATTAACAGCCATGTATATACAAAAGCCTTTTTACACGTCAGACGATCTCTTTTAAGATTAATTCCTAGGATAGAAGTTTCTAGGTCATTATGAAGTTCTATGGTTGTTAATATGTGTCAACAAAGAACTTCTCCAAAGTAGTAAATTCACCAACACCCTTCCGGCATGGCCTTGCCAGACTCTCTCTAAGCACCAACTTCTCTGTGCTGCTGCTTCCACAAATCAACAACAGAAAGAGGAAAGAAGGTGGGAGATAATCACAGATGAGAAGTGACTTAAGAGAGAGAAGCAAATGCAATGTGTAGACCTTATTTGGATTCATATTTAAATTACAAAAAAAGGCATTTTTATATCTAACACCTAAGGTGTTGGATAATACGAAAGAACCATTGTTAATTTTGAAAAATGGATAAGAGACAATGTGGCTAAGAAAAAAAAATTACATATCAACCTATTAGAAATACACACTGAAATATTTATGAGTTAAATGATAAGGCATTTGGGATTTGTTTTAAAATCCTCCAGCCAAAAGTCCTGGAGATGGATGGTGGTGATGATGTGCAACAGTGTGAATGTACTTAATGCTACTCAACTGTATACTCAAAAATGGGTCTTACTTCCCTTGCCTGTGAAATGGAGAGACCATTCACTTTGATCCAGAGACGGGAATGTGAATTGAATCAGATCAACTGGGAATCCAGAGTGCTTAATAAGTAACAGGCAAACAGCTTGTTTCCTGCCCTTGATCATTCCTTGTGTATCACCCGGAATCACAGAAACTCATGTTGGAAGGGACTTGAAAGTGTACACACACACACACACACACACACCCTCCATTCCCTCACAGTCCCTGCCAAGTCTTCCAAGCTTTCCCACCTCCAGGATGGGAATCTCATGACATCTGAGATGGGCCACTTTGGCTGTTAGAAATTCATCATTTCAGGGCCTCCCTGGTGGCTCAAGGGGTAAAGACGTAACCTATGAAGCTATCTGCAGCCTCTGCAGCACGAGTTCAATCCCCACCAGGCCAGGGAGCAACCCACATGGCGCAGCAGACTTCTCCTGACTCACCCGCAGCTCCCCTCAGCAGTATACTTCCATTGATCTGCCTGTTCTATTCCCCACTCTGTCTCTGGTGAATCCTCTCACCCCCCACACCTCTGGCCTATACCCCAGCTCTTGTATGCATAAATAAATAAATCTTTTTAAAAATATATTCTTTTTTTAAAAAAAGAAATTTATCATTTCAGTGAAAGAAATAGGTGATATGGGGCCTCCCCTGGTGGCGCAGTGGTTGAGCGCTGGCCTGCGAAGCTGCCCGCAGCCTCTGCAGCGCCGGTTCGATCCCTGGCCACTGGCTAGGGTACCGCATGGCGTGCAGAGCTCTCCTGTCACCCGCTGCTCCCCTCAGCAGTGTATTTCGTCTGTCTGCCTGTTCTGTTCCCCGCTCTGGCTCTGGTGAATTCTCTCACCCTCCCGTGCTTTTGACTGTACCCAGTGCTAGTATAAATAAAATAAATAAATCTTTTAAAAAAAAAATAGGTGATATGGAACACAAAAAGGCATGCACTCCAGATTTTTACCTCTTGCATTTTCCTCTACAAACTGCAGCTTCCTTGTGTGTTCCCAGGTTAAAGAATCCTCAAATGCCCAAATCTGGCACTTGGCAAACCAAAATGAACACCCATATCTTCATATCTCTGATCCACTTACCGGAGAGACTGTGGGTATGGGGAGTGGTGGGCCCTCAGGAGGTGCACTGCCCAACACTTCTGCCCCAGCAGTAATAAGGGGCGCCTCTGTCATGGCTGCTGTGAAGTCTTCATCACCAGGACCCTGAAAGCAGAACCAACACAATGAATTGCATTACTGCCCCCGTGAATTTTGATCTCTGCTTCTGCAGGGCCAGCACATTTTCCAAACACCCAACACATTCACATAGCACAGACTCTCAGAACCCTTCTGAAAGATGCCTCTCCTGCGAGGACTCTCCCCAGAGTCAGGGGACTCACTGCACCCCAACAGCTCGCCCCCAACATTGGATAACTCATCTCTCATCATCCCATCTCAGAAAATTCTTGGATCAAGACAGGAAGTAGCAGGTCGGGTTAAGAACTGGATGCCCTGGCGCCTTTGTGGGGTTCCCTCCACTGCCTCCTGCTGCATGCCCCAGTGCGCTCAACAGGTTCACCTTGCAGGTGCCTCTGGGTGGTCAGGATGGGCCTCTGTCTCCCTCTCCCCACTGTGAGCCAGAAACCATGCTGCGAGATACTTACAGATGTGGCCGCTTGCTCAGGGGCCAGGCCAGCTGTGGGGGCCCTACTGGCCTCCTCTTCAAGAGTGCTGAGGGGCACACTTGTTGCAGCTGCTGCTGTTGTCAAACTTTCTTCATTGTTTGGACCCTGAAACAAAACTAGTGTGAGGGACTGTGCCACCACGACCACATTGCTGGGTGTTGGGTGTGTGACCTCAGGGAGGAAGCTACAAGGCTATAGGTCACTGTCACCTCCAAAATTCCCTGCCTTGTCAGCAGAGCCCAAGCTCCGCCTGCAGACTCCTGGGATTCCAGGGTTAGGATGCCATTTCACATTGCCACCCTTGAGCCCTGTTGGGGTTGTTGGCTTGTACTGCCACCCCCAAGCCTCAGGGGCTCCTATACACTGAACTAGGCCTGGGCACACTCCACTCGCAAGGGGGAACTTGGTTAGAAAGGGGGCCCTTCTCCCCATTCAGTCTCCTCTGGATTTGCCCAAAAGAATGATGCTCTGAGAAGGCCGGAGTCTGTTCCCAGCCGTGACTTCAACCTTCCAGCACCTTCTGGTCCTTACCAGCGAGATGCCGTCCTCAGGGATCTGGATGGATGTGGAGAGGGTTGGCTCCCTGGTGGCTACACTGTGGGTCTCTATGTCCCAGGCAGTGCTGAGGGGCATCTCGGCCTCCCCTGTGGCTGAACCTTCTTCAGTATCTGGACCCTGAACAGGAAGGCATCAAGAGGGACCCCATTAGAGAGCCACTGCACTGAGGCTGGAGGGAGAAGAGGGCCTCCCTCCCGCAGCTGCTTCCTGTCCCTCCCTCACCTTCAAAGCATTTGTGCATCCAGAACCTGACCTTACACCCCTGCCTGGACGAGGCACCACGGCCCGGCCCGGACACAGAAACCACCCAAATGTGAGCCCCTTTCCTGCAGCTTCCTACTGCCTGCTTCACCCCGCCCTCCCTCCAACCTCCGTGAAGGGGTGCTGGCCCCCACACCTCATTTGGTGTTGGGACCAAACCCAGGTCCTAGCACTCCCCAACTCTCTCATCAAAGGGGTGGTTGGCCTCACAAGCACTGGTTCCCCTCAGCCTCCTCAGTGTCCTTTGCCATCCCTCCCACAGCCTAAAACTGCCTCCCCAGGGTCCCCAATAGTCATGGAGACAGATCTAATAGACGTGTTCAGGCCTTCACTCACTGGGACTCTTGGAGGCTCTGCCCTCACTGACCACACCAGAGTGAGCCCTCACCTCCACTCCCGACCCTCAGTGGCCGCCAGCTCCTCCCCTGCTTGCAGGCTTTTTCTCCATCCTCTCGCTCAGGAGTTGGAAGTTCTAAAATCCCACTCAGACCCGTCATTTCCTAGTAAAGCCCTTCCAGCAACGCCCCCCTTTTGCTGAACAACTCAGGCTCTTCTCAGTGTCCACGGTCTCAGAGGCCTCTGCATCCTCGTCTCCCCCGGCTCACACCTGACCTTGAGGCACACTGCTTCTTCAGGTCTTTCTTGTCCACGGTGATGCCTCCAGACCTTTGCTCCTGAGGGCCCACCCCCTGAGTTACCCCTCAGTCTCAGCTCCTGGGTTACTTCTAAGCACCCCCTTTGGCTCACCTTCAGGTTTCCTGGGTCCCCTAAGTCTGGGTTCTGGGCCTCCTTTCCAGGGCTCTGTGCTTCTCCTATTATACATTTTACTGCTCTGTCCCCAGGAACAGGGTGTCCTGTTCACCAAGTGCGAGGGGCACAGCGCAATGCTCCCCAAACCCTGCTTAATGAGTCTGCCTCAGCCTCAAAGTTGGGGCCTGCTCAGACTCGGCCCCACGAGGCGGTCACTGTATTTTGCAGACAGGTTAGGAAGCATGACTGGTCCTCCATGGACACTCCTCATCCCGGACAGGTGACGCGGGGCATGCACGTCCAGCTACTTACTGGCGTGACCCCTTCGCCGGGGTCCTGGGAGGATGAGGCAAAGGTCGGTTCCCCAGTGGGTGCACCTCTGGCCTCTGCTCCCCCGGCAGTGCTGACGGGCACCTCGGCCACCCCTGTTGCTGCTGTTGTTGCCAAAGCTGCTTCAGTATATGGACCCTGTAAACAAAGAGTCGTGTGAGACCAGGTCACTGGGTCCACGACCCAGATTCAGCCCTGGCCCCTAGCACTTCTGGGGCATCTTTCCTTCTAAGCACTTTCCCATGTATGACTCTAGTCCCACTCTAGCCCCACAACTGGTTCAGGGTCAAAGACTCCAAGGGACAGGAGAGGCTGCAGGCACCTTTCTCCCCTATTTGATGCCAAGCATCTGTCTACACACGCCAATGTCCAGGAGACCCTTCCCGAGTCATCCGCTCCAGCTCCAGACATGTCTCTCCAGACGTGGCCGCCTTCCTGGCACCTCCCCTGGTGCCATCCAGAAGCCATTAACAAGCCCGATGCTTTTGCCCAGGTAGGTGTGCAGAGATGTGCAGCCAGCAGCCCCTCTCCGGGTTGGACCCCCTGCTTCCTCTTTCCTTCTGGTTCACGGGAAATGCACAGGCAGATTCTCAGAAGGTTCCACAGTAGATGCTGATGAAGGGCGACAGAGTCCCTTCGGCTGTGGGTGTCACCAAACTGACTATGTTTTTCTGAGTTTCACAGAAAGTTTTGTTTCAGTTTTTTGGTTTTTTTTTTCCTGGCAAAAAGTTATTTTTTTATACCCAAAACAGCTGATCAAAGTTAGATAGACTTCCTTGCTGCAAGGCATGGCAGAGGCTAGAATAGCATAGAACGAGACCTATCTGAACCACAGAAGCAATCCTTCATATAACATACTAGGTCCTTGCAGACATTGTCTCCTAAAACAGAGAAGTGATGATCACAGGATTTTAAAAGTGAGACTCTCAGACTCCACATCAGCTAAAGCCCCAAAGGACTAGTACAGCGCCATCGGCAACAGGTCTCCTCCTTATTCTAAGAGAAGGTGCCAGACTATTAGTCCATCACCTGCCTTGGGCTGTACAGAAAAAGCTAAGGGATTTATTTGGAGGCAGAGTGACTAGAGAGTGAGAATTCCTCTGGAGAGAATTTTTAGGGGGCTGTGACTTTTCTCCTCCCTCTCCCCACTACTAAGCATTTGGGGAGCTGGATATGTCTCCCTTGGAATTTAGGAAACAAAGGGGCTCAGGACTGATTCCCTCCAGGAAAATATGAAAAACAAAGTGTGAAGGGGGTGGAGGGAGGGAGGGAGGGAAAGAGCATGTGAGAGAGCGCTTTCTCCTGCAGTTGTCTTTCTGCAGAGACACGCTATCACTCCTTTAAAGAGAGCCAGCTAAGACAGCAATGCAAAAAAATAATAGCAGTACAAAACACAGCAAAGCAAAAACAGACAATTGTAAACCAGAGACATCCTGCAGGGGAGGAGGAGGGAGAGGGGTCAGAGGGAGGGAGGGAGGAGCACAGGGGACTGAGGTGATGGTGCACGGGTGCCTTGGGGAAGAAAACTCTATGAGGACTACACCTGAGGGGGTGAGGGGAAACAAATAGTGTTTAAAAATGAACAAGGATGTAAAAACAAATAATTAAAAAAATAAAAAATAAAGAGAGCCAGCTATGGGCCTCCCCGGTGGTGCAGTGGGTTAAGCTCAGAGCTGTGAAGCTGTCTGCAGCCTCTGCAGCTGTCCTCAGCCTCTGTGGCATGGGTTCAATTCCTGGCCAGCCAGGGAGATACCCACAAGGCGTGTCAGACCTCTCCTGTCTCTCCTGCTGCTCCCCTCAGCAGTGTATTTCGTCAGTCTGCCTGTTCTGTTCCCTGCTCTGTCTCTGGAGAATCCTCTCACCCTCCTGTGCCTCTGGCCTGTACCCCCAGTTCTAGTATAAATAAATAAATCTTTAAAAAAGAGAGAGAAGAGAGAGAGAGAGAGAGAGAGAGAGAGAGAGAGAGCGCCAGCTAAAGGAGCTTGAAATGGACTCTACCCAAAGGGCCATTTATAGGGTCAGGGCCACCAGTGGGGGAGGGGAGGAGGGTGTTGGTAGGGGAGGGGAAGAAGTTCAAGCAGACGTTAAAAGACCAGTAATGGAATTTCCGTCCCAGATCCCCTGCAGGAGGACTTTCAAGGAACCACCCAATCCACCCCACTCCCCCCACGCCCCGAGAAAAGTTCTAGCAATCAGGCATCTCTCACATTAAGGCCCCTGATGGCAATTTGACCAGCCACATAAAACAGAATCCTGTCCCTTAAGTGGGCCCTTCTCTGCAGACATCCAAACCTGCTGCAGTGAGGGGCAAGGAGAGTGAAGGGAGCGAGGAGAAGGGGCAAGAAAATAGAGAGACTCCCCTAACTATGCTTCTTCCCCTTCCTGGCAGGGTCCTGCCTACAGCAGGCCTGCGTTCTGAAGGAGAGGAGCTGTATTTGTATTTTTCCTGAATTTTTAATATTATGCTAGACTTGTAAAGTATCTGTGAAAATAGACCATTACCATTAGTGACTGGGAGAGCTATGAAGTGTGTAAGTTTTTATCCCAGGAGAGGGGAGTGAAGGAGCTGACACTTGGGGGCAGGGTTGAAGGAGTTGACAATGCTGCAGGGTTTTAGCAAAGGCAGTGGCGAGAAAAATACATCTGCTTGAATTTGACAAACTATGTGTCCAGCATTTAACAACCTGGCTTCGTAGCCAATTACAAACAATATAGGGGACACACCTGTGGTTAATCCGATTCTGTCTAGAAGGAGTTCAAGGGCTGAAGAAGATGTGCTTCTTCACACTTGAGCGTGAGGGAGTTACCATAGTGATGATAGGCATTCATCACCAGGCAGGGGTAAGGACCAACTTGGCGGCATCTTCTCTCCCCTCCCCCCATCCTAGTGCAGTCTGGGGGGTGGGGGTGGGAGGGAGAAGCCCTGGAAGAAGAGAAGCTCTGGAGAAGCTGAGAAGCCCTTTAGCTAACTGCCTCCTGGTCCTCTGTGCCCCATGAAAGTCAATGTCAAGTCTGAACTAAGCCAGTAAGTTCACCACTGACTGATCAAATGCAATTTACCATTCACTCACCTCTTCAGTGACATGGATGAAGTTTCCATCCCCAGAACCAATGTCTGTCATGGGGGTACCGTCCACAGTACGATCCCCCTCCAGTGTGTCACTCAGGATCTCACCAGACCCTACAGGAAGCATGCGTGATGTCATTAGAACTGCATTTTGCAGTGTTGATAAAGGATGAAGTCTCTTCACCTACTGACTTGAAAAGATGACCATTATAAAAGAGAAAAAAAAGAGCTGTTGAAAAATAAACATCAGAGGGTAGCATTAGATGGTGTTTCCATCACAGGCTCTGGAACCAACCACTGGGCTGGAACCCTGCTTTGTCACTTACTAACGTGATCTTAGGGTCCTCATCTGTAAGTAGGGGATAATACTCCTTATCTCCTAGAGTGCTTTTGAGAATGAAATAAGTTAATGCAGGAAAAGCACTGAGGACAGCCCCTGGCAGTATAGGAAGCAATTGGTAAATGTTCACTGTCAGTGTGGTTCTCTATTTGTAAAAGGGGAAAAAAGTGCATATGATTACACATATTTTATCATCATTATATACATGCACATATTTACATAACATGTTTATGTTATATAGCAATTCTTACAGAACCCATAAGACACATAGACATGTATGGGTATATATGTATACAGATGCTTGGCTGAACCACAACGCCTGATATTTGCTTCCTCCAGAGGATAAAAGAGGAAACGACTATTTTTTTGGTTCACTCACTCCACATTGATTGAACTGTTACCCCAAGCACATATTTCTTTTGCAATTAAAAAAAAACAACAGGGCCTCCCCGGTGGCGCAGCGGTTGAGCACTGGGTTGCGAAGATGCCCGCAGCCTCTGCAACACCGGTTCGATCCCCGGCGGCTCCCCGGCCACCAGAGGAGGGTCCCACATGGTGCGCAGACCTCTCCTGCCGCCCGCTGCTCCCCTCAGCAGTGTACTTCGGTCCTTCTGCCTGCTCTGCTCCCCACTCTGGCTCTGGTGAATTCTCTCACCCTCCTGCACTTCTGACTGTACCCAGTGCTTGTATGTATGTATGTATCAATCAGTCAATCAATCAATAAATCTTTAAAACAACAACAACAACAAATAGAGTCCTAAAAAAAAAGAAGTTGTGCCAACAAAAATGCATGCCTGTTCTGGGCTGGGGCCAGGTTAGACATGTTTCTTCCATGAACGCCCTCCTCTGACACTCCCTCAAGCCCATCCATGTGCCTATATGCACCTTCTCCACACCTTGCAGCTGGTTGGTTCAGGACAAGAGTGGTTTCACTCTTTCCATTATCATGTATGTCCTGCTCCGATCCCCATAATGGCACATTATTATTGTTAACCCCATTTTGCAGAGGAGGAATGGCTCCCGCAGAGAATAAGTGGCTAAGAGGCACCCTAAAGTCAGGTCAGCCTGCTCCTGTGCCAAGTCCTTTCCACACACGCTGTGCTCACGCACACTCCAATACAGAATGCCTACCGGTGTCAGCCCGTCACGCGCTCGCCGCTTCCCTGCTCTGGCCACCAGGGGGCACTGTGCAAGCAGCTGGAGGGCCTCTGCGTCCCCACCCCTTGGAGGATGGAGGTGGAGGTGTCCTGCTCCCTGGGCCAAGATGGTGTCGTGGAAGCCTGGACTAAAACTACTAGGGTTTTTTCCCTAGCTAGGGAAGGGGATCAGGGTTCAGGAAGCTTTCTCCTCCCCATCTGGGGTGTCTACTCAACAAGAAGAAAGGCAACATTTCAGTCAGCTCTGTTGTTTCTGTTTGACCTTCTGTCTCCTAGATAAGGAGCGTGGTTGATCCCAGGGCCCCTGCAAGCTGTGCTGGGATCTGGGACCCACTCTCCACTTGGCTCCCTCCTTTGCACTCAACACTCAGTGGAAGGGAGGTCCTCACCCTGGCCCTGCAGCCTTTGCCCTGCAGCCTCTGCTGGCTTCCTGGCCCTCCTTGGAGATCCTAATGTCACCCAGGAGAACAGCTTTCACAATTCATAAACCACTGCTACATCCAAACCCATTGAATCCTCTCATCCACCCGGGAGGCAGGGATTGTGAACCTTCCCAGTGGACAATTAAGGAATCTAGAGCTTGGAAATGTTAAGCAACTTGCCCTAGGCTGATAGCAAATAGTTGGCGGGGCAGGGCCTCCACCCAAACTGTCTGCTCTGCCTCCACACTCCCACAGCGATGCCCTGACTCCTTCGTAGGACTAAGACTTTGTTAAATCATACAATTTTTTTGTATTCAGTACTTTCACCCACAGGCTTCCTAACTTTAGTTGTTAAAGATAGATATGTATAAATGGCAGAAGTAAAAAGCAGGATGAAATATATGATTATAGAGGAATTGTAAAATACAAAAAAGAAAAACCACTCAGAGTATTTTGTTGTATATTATTCTAACACACACACACACACACACACACACACACACAGGCCTACATAGCGACCTATAAATAGATACAAATAATAAATAGACACAAATATTCGAATCCAGGCCATAGCAAACAGTTTGAAGATCTGCTTTTTCGTGGAGGTCATGCAGCAGGAGCAAGTCCGAAGGTCACGAAATCTTTGTATCACCCCTTCGAGGGTTCTACATTTGAATAAAAGACAATTTGCCCAGCCAGTCCCTACTGAGGGGTGGTTTGGGTTGTCTTTTGACCTTGTATGTAAATCTCAGTGCTCTGGTGTTGTGCTGAAATGGCCGCCCTTTTGATAGGCAGAAAACACGGGCTCATCTCAGGCCTCAAGCAGCTGTCAAGCTGTCGCGTGGGGTGACATCAGATCTGGGGTTCTTGCCAGTGCCCCCCTGCACGGCTGGAGGATGAGCAGCATAAGAGCCCTGGATGGGGAGCCGGAGCTCAGCCCTCCCAGAGCTTGCATGGATGTCCTGGGTCCTGGAGCTTGCTGGCACCCCACATCTGCCTCACAGGAGCTTATATGGCCTGAGAGTTAGGGTGCTAGTTGTGAGATTGGAAAGAGTGGGGATTCTGGAGTCAGACTGGTGCTGTGTCCTACCACTCAGGAGCCTAGAGATTTGGGAGTGGCACCCACCTTTCCAAGCACAGGTTTCCATCACCATAAAATAACAGGTACTAACAGTGACTAGGTGATGTGGGACGAGAGCGGAAGCCTGTGAACACTGGCATACAGCAGGGATTAATGAGCAGGAACAATTTTGACAGGGTTTTCTGTTAAACCCCGGCCTCTTTGGGAGGGACAAAGTTGGGGGATTAAAAGTTCAGGTATCCAAAATCAAGCGCCAGCTCTGCTATTAAGGATTCAGCTGGGAGACAAAGTGCCCGGTGACTTGGTTTCCCCCTCTTGCATGTGAAACGAGCACGATTCCTAAAGCGCATGAGGGGAAGCTGGGGTGAGAACTCTCGGTGGACACATCAGCTGGGCTGGGCACACAGCCGCTACCCAACGCCCAGGTGCACAGAGGCGCAGCAGGGACTTGCCTGGCTCAGGGTTGCCGTGTGAGATGTCACTGGAGTTGGTGGCTCCTGGGGTCCCCTCAGGTACAGGTTCTCCAGAAATGTCTAAATCCTCGGAGGGAGGTGATGGAGTTGGAGGGCTGTTTATAGGTTCAACTTCTTCTACGTTAAACTGAAGGGAGGAAAAATGAGACTCAAGATTTGCTTGGTAGAAAAGCAGCAAAAACAGCCACGAGTATCACTGGAGAAAATCAAATATCCACCGAGGGGTGAATCCAGCAAGCTCTCACACTAAGTCCACGAGGTGAGCACGCTCCAGTCCATTTAACAGAAGCCTGCCACAAGGAAACTCAGAAACCCAGGGGGGCTGCCATTGTTCCTGGTCTCACCCACATCTGTGTCAAGTTCAACAACCAGTAAGGGTAGAGCTGACCACTACACACTACTGGTGGGACTGGGATCTGCACCAGTTCCCTTGAAACAGCGGAGGAGAGTGGGGCTTAGGAATCTAGGAAAGAAAGTGTGGGTGCTCCACACGCCACCTGGTCCACCATCATCCTTTCTCACTTCTCCTGGCATCTGGGGAACTGCAGCCTGCTCCCACTTTTGCCTTGCACTGCAGTCCCCTAACCCGGGAGAGAAGGCCCTAGGGGGCTTGGGTCCCAACTCCACTACCGTGTGACCCTGCAAAGCCACCCTCTTCTCCAGAGCATCTGCTGCCATCTCCTGCAGCCATGTTGGAAGGATTCAACTCTGTCATCTGTACAAAGCACCAGGCACACAGTGGGTATGGAGAAACGCTGGTCCTCTTCCTCCTGCCATTTCTCTGCCTCTGTCTGAAGCTGTTTGGTTCCTGTGCTCCCTCCACCAGAAAGCCCACCTTGATCAGCCTCCAGCCCATGATCATCTCATGCTCTCAAACCCTGTTCCTCTTTCCTATCTCAGGACTACCTTGAGTCACTGGCATCTCTGCCTGAACCCATCTTGCTTTTAGGTATCAAATGGTCATGGGGAGATGAGGGCAACCTCAGGCTGGAAGGCCTGAGGGACCACCTTTCTGTGCCCTGCCTCTGTGGACATGCAAAAAGGTGGCCAAGGGCTGATGGGCATAGAGATCACAACACTGCCCAAAGCAGCCACCCTCCCCTTGGATGGGCACCTTGAACCCTGGACTGCTCCATCCCAAGTGCCCAAGAATTGGCTGCAGTTCTGGTAGTGGACCTCTACCGCAGGCCAGCGGCGCAGGGTCATGGCCTGAATCCTGAACGGGCATCTGGAGACCTGTGTTCTAGCCTCAGTTCTGCCCCAGCACCCTAGGGTTGGCCAGTCTCTTCCTGTCCCAAGGTCTCCGTTTGTCCATTTGTACAAAAGGCAGTTTTCTACACGTCTTTATAGAAGGAAGTGAGTTATATATAGGTGGCTCCAGTGCTGAGAGACTATGGTTATTGCACCCCATCCACATCCCTCTCAATAGAATTCTATAGCCCCTGTCTTATTTCCATCTCCCTGCTTTTTTCTATTAGATAAGTGAGGGGACAAGGCTGCAGCTTCTGTGCCCAGTGGCTCAGGCATTGCTGGCTTTTTTCACTAAAAACGGCCTCCTTGGTGTTTATACCATCTGACTCAGCACTTTCAAAACCACTTCCTTGTCTTGCCAAGGGGCCCATTCCCAGGAGGGGGGGAGGGGTGGCCCACACCCCAGGAAGGATGGCTGCCTTGCCCATGGGGCCAGCTGTGAGCTCCCGGGAAGACAGACTATGCAACCTGCAGGATGCGGACCCTGACTTCTCTCGCACAGCCAGAGCCCCAGTCGGCGCGACAGAAGCCACCCTCCAGGGCCACATTTCTCTGGCAGGCACTGGGCTGAGACCTGAGCTTCCTCATCTGACTTGCCATAACCCGTCAGATAGCAATGGATTACTGTTTTAGGGAAGAGGAAGTGAGACTAAGTTACCCAGATAACACAGCGAGGAGGCGACAGGGCACGTTTGCCTGGACACGCCCTCATGACCATAAGCATAGGATGGCGGCGAGATAACTGGTATTCCTGGGCCTTGGGGACTTCTCAAAATGCCCACTGACTAGAACTTTCCTGACTTTCCCAGAGGAGCTGACAAAGTCACACATCTGAGAATAGTGGGGTCAGACTGGAGGCTCCAGGACTCCCCCCCTAACTCTCAGCCATACATGCCCACATAGACGCCACTGTATCACACTCACTCACCGGGGCCTGGGTGTAGGTGACGCCTTCCAAGATCTCAGCTACGCCATCTGCCTCCTGAAGGCCGCTGCTCTCCCCTGACCCCTGTGTGGAGACAAACCGAGCCAGACAGATGGGGCGGCTTACAACCAGGGAAATCAAAGAAACCAGGCCTGTGGAGGAGCCGGGAGTGTGTGTGTGTGTGTGGGGGGGGGGGGGGGGTGTGCGTGTGAGAGAGACAGAGACAGGGGCAGGGTAGGATTGAGAGAGCACATGTACAATGCACGTTCTTGGCTCTTCTTTTTGCTTCTTCCCACAGTTTATTGCTCAAGTCAAAAGGAAAAAAATGCAATCAGTTTAGTCTCTAATACAATTATTTTCATTTGTTCAGGATCCCATCGATCTCTGTCGAAGTGTTAGGAGGCAGACTGAGGGGCACCCTGGGATCCCCAAACCTGCACACTCTAAATGCCCTCCACCACATAAAGACAAAGCATTCTCTTAGTGTAAAAGAACTTCAACAGAAAGAAATTTAATAGAATTAGTGTGCATAACACAGAGACAGAAGAAAGGATGTTACTCAATAAAACACCCAGTTACCAATACCCATGCCCAGCCAAACAGAGTTGGCCCAAAGCAGGGCCACTGAGGCTTGAAAACTTGCCACAATTCTAAGGCACCTTTTGGTGGGGACCCACAGGAAAGGGACCGAAGGGGCCAGGCATGTCTGGAAGGGAGGGAGGAAAATCAGTCAAGATACAGGCTGCCATTGTTAGCCTCCCCATGGGTCTCTTGCCCATATCTCTTCCAAGTGTCTCCTTCCATGTCCCCCATGTTCCTTGTTGTAAGTCCAAGGCTTCAGGACAGGCTTGAAACAGCTTCTTCACATGTCTCTGCTCTATGTGCCTCCTCCAGGTCTCCTCTCAAGTCTCCTCTCTGTGTCCAAGTTTTCTCTCCAAGCCCTTTCCTAGCTTTCCCTGACCGTTTAGCTCCATCCTTCCTTAGGTGGGGCAGGGAACCTGGAACATACCCTTTCTATGAGGATTACACTGTTACAGAAAGGCATCCCCAAGCTTTATGTGGCTATCTCCAGGATTTCACATTGGGAGCCATGACACTGCAAGGATATCTTCCAGTTGCTACTTAATCTTAATAATTAGCTCCACGTGGCAGCCAAGCAGCCAGTGCACCGTTTTGTAAATAATACTCTATTTACACTCTTGGGTTGTTTTACTTTTTCCACACTATCAGCAGTGCAAGATGGAGGAGCTCATACCCTGAGTGCCAGCTGGGATCAGGGCCTCAGGGAGTGCAGACACCCTTACAGAGCCCATTTTCACCACTGAACAAAGTCAGCAGCATTTTTTACTGAATGAATGAATCAACTTTGGTTTTAGGGAAGAGAACTAAGAGGGTGCCACACTCACTGAGCTTGACTCCAACCACTAGCATCAAAGATAGCTTCTGCCTAGAATGTTTCTTCTTCCTTGTCTGGCTTGCTTGTTTTAAATCTGAGAACCTGTCTGATTCTGGTTTTATACAGTTTGAATTGGTTTTATACAGTTTGAACTGGTTTGAACTGCTTTTAATTTATTTGAACCAATATCCTGTCAGAACCAGTTTCAACTAGTTTTATCTGGTCAGAACCAGTTTGAGCTGGTTTTATCCAGTCAGAACTGGTTTGAACCAGTTTATTTGTTCAAAAACGGTATTGAACTGATTTAATCAGCTCAGGACTGGTTTTACCTAATCAGAACTGGGAATCAGTTTTGTCTAGTAAGAGCATGTTTGAACTGATTTAATCCAGTTAGAACTGGTTTCTGCCAGTTTTATCCAGTCAGAACAAGTTGTATCCAGTCAGAACTGGTTTGAGCCAGCTTGAGCTGGTTTTATCTGTTCAGAACTTGTTTGACCCAGCTCTATCTGTTCAGAATAGGCTTGAACTGGTTTAATCAGCTCATCTGGTCAGAAGATTAAACTAGTTCTATCTGGCCAGAACAGGTTTGAAACAGTTTAATCTGGTCAGAACTGGTTTTATCTAGTCAGAACTGTTTTGAGTGGGCTTGAACCAGTTTAAACCATTTTAACCTGGTCAGAATCAGATTTATCCAGTCACAATTGGTTTTATCTGTTTGAAACCAGTTTGAACTCTTTAATCTGTTCAGAACCAGTTTTATCCAGTTTGAACTGGTTTACCCAATCAGAATAGGCTTGACCAGTTTTAATTGGTTTTATCCTGTCAGAACCAGAGTTATATAGTTAGAACCAGTTCAAGCCAGTTTTTTTTCTGGTCAGAACACTTTTGAACTGATTCTATCTAGTCAGAACCTGTTTGAGCTGGCTTTGCCTGGTCAGAGCCAGTTTTAGTTGGTCAGAATTGGCTTGAACTGATTTTTATCTGGTCACATAAACATCACATGACACCCACGTGATGTCCATGTGACCAACACATGACAATTGCATGACCTTCACATGATATTGCATAATGTTTGCATGAGCATCATATTACATTTGCATGATATTCACAAGACCCATACTTGCTTGTCAGTGGTCAGCATTAACTCTTCCCTGACTGCTTCCCTTCCATTTCCTGCCCCCACCCACCCCACAGAGCTTGGGTATGAGGAGGTCCCCTGTCACATTCAGTTCTGTCACGCATTTGGGTGTGTAAATGTTTGTGAGCAGCTTGAGGAGGGAGACAGTTCCCATTTATCTCTTTCTCACTAGCATCTCCCTAGGGCTGTCACCCAGAAGGTAGTTAGTAAACCCTGGAGGGAGAAAGGAGGGAGACAAAGAGGGAAGGAAGTGGGCAGAGGGAGGAAGGAGAGAGACAGAGAAGGAGACAGGGAGGGAAGGAGGGAGAAAGGGAGGACCTTGTCCACCACTCCACCCTCAATTTAATTCATTTGCCAAGCATAAAGGCTCATTTTAAGTTCATTTTTATAGGAATTTACACCCAGAATGTCTTGGAGTTTTCACTTCAGTTTTAGAATCCTGACACGTTTTCTTGGCAGAAAGTCTGGAAACCAGGCCATTGACTGGCACCCCATGGAAGAACTTAACACCTTAAAAGAAACACAAGCCCCCCCACACCAAAGAGATGGCTGAAGCTCTTAAAAAAAAAAAAAAGTCAAAAAGCCCAAAATAGGACTCAGCAGCGCCTGCCAAGATGAGAGATTTTAGAGACTCCATGACGTTGGGGGTGAAGAATTGTCTGGAAAACCCAGCCTTCTTCTGACTGATTGATGGCTGTGACTGCCAGGCCTACTCTGGGGATGTTGAGGGGCATGGGGGGCTCACCGAGGATTCTTCAGGTTCACACAACTCCTCAGGAGTCCTGGGGTCCGGGTATATTATGAGCTGCTGAATGGAGCCCTAGGGAAAAGCAGAGGGGTCACAAGCCACCAGGGAATCCAAACCAACCCTATGTTCCATCTTATTTAGGGGGACTCTCCTTGGGCCAAGGCCCTTGAGGAATGTTGTGTTCAAAATGCAAACTAACATGGTCACCTCCTGTCTCCCCAGGTCCTCAGCTTGTCAAACCTTGAAAAGCACCCAGCCTTTAGAAACTTTCTCCTGTAGCTCAAAATTCTCAGCTGGAATGCCTTGCGCCCCCACCCCCCCCCCCACAAAGCTGCGAGTCAGCCTTTCTGCCTCTACTCCAGCCTCCTCTCCCCATACCTGACAGCTCATTCTCAAAGATGATCCGAAAATTTTTAAATTGTTGATCAAACTTTAACTTCGCCTTACTCACTGTCTTCCACTGTACTATGAATAAACCCAAACCCAGCCTGCGGTATTAACAAGGCAAGGGAGCAGTGGGCACATGTGCTAAGTGAATAACAACAACTTAGGGTGTTTTATAGTCTGGCTTATTCACAAAAGCCCATTTTGACTGTCAAGTCAGTTTTCTGATATTTTTTCAGGGCACAGAGTTCAAAAGGAATAAGAGAAACAATCTCACTCTATTATTCTAGCTTATCCACCTCTCTAAATATTTCTTCAATGCAGCCACGACCCACATCCAAAGATGAAACCACTGAGGTGATGATGACCCGCACTCTTCACAATGCCTCACAATATACAATGACTTGTCTCCCTCCACCTAGGAGCACGTGGGTCCCCACTCACAGATCAGAAAACAGAGGATCAGAGGACCCGGGCACTGTTCAAATTCTGGACCCAGCATTCTTTCCCCCAGGCCTCTTTGAGGACATGCGGAAACAATAATGATAGCAATAGCCGCCTGTGTTTGGTGCGGTGAGCCTGTGTCCAGCAGCCTCCCCCATCGGCAGGCACAGACTCACAATGAATCTTTCCAGCCCCGTGGCTCCTGCGTTGCCCACGAAAATTCCCGAGCTGGGCTGGAAAGCCAAGGCTTGGGAGGAGCGCCGGAAGGGAACACGGTTCTGCTCCTCACAGTCCACCAGGAGGGTCACTTCCTCGCCCTGGACGATCACAGCCATGCGGTTCCACCGGTGAGTCATGACGGGCACCGGGAAGGCGGCAGCTTCCTGGGACACGGAGGAGCCGGGCTCCGTGTAGTAGAGGATGACTCGCTGGCTGCCGTCCTCCACGCCCGAGAGCCGCAGGCCCAGGTAGATGACCTTCTGGAAGGCATCGGTGATGGCAAAGAGCACACCGCCCTGGGCGCTGCCTGGCTTCACTGTGAAGCTGATGGCAAAGTCCCTGAAGAAGGTGGATGGGATGAGTCTCTTAACTGGGCGGCCAACATTAGCACCGGGGCCGAAGCTGTAGGCTGGGAAACCACCATAGCCCGTGACGAAGGACACGGATGAGGGCAGGGGGACGCCGATAAGCACAGTGAGGTCCAGGGGGCCTTGGGTAGCTGATTCTGCAGGGAGAGAGAAAGAGGCCACACTTCACACATAGATTCCACTCTGCTTGGAAATGACAAAGCGATGAAAAAAGTCACGAATGAAATGGGATCCCTCAGGAGACTCATGTTTTTTTCTTAATTATTATCTTTCAAATATTTTGACCACAACCCACACCAAAAAATGCACTTACATTGTGATCCCATATACATGCTAAATGCACACCTATAATACTGCAACAAATGCGTCCTAAAGCCGTGTTTACCAGGCGCTCTGACAGGATCCTTTCTTTTTAATCATTCTTTCTATTTTTGTTACAAATACACTGGCACCGATCTCCTAAATTGATTTCATTGCCCAATAACAGGTCACCATCTGCAGTTTGGAAAGTATTTCAAAATATTTCCCAGCACATGGGTAGAACTGATAATGTTTTAACTGGGAGATTTTTCTATTTATTTGTTCTGCTTTGAACATGGTCTGCTGTTTAAGAGCTTCAGGGCACAGCAGGAAAAGGCAGGGACAAAATGAAGTGTTCTCAGACCTCAAGACCACTGAAATTTGCATCGTCATCATTGCCCTCTGCTGCCACAGCTGTCTCTTCATCATCATCCACATTCCCTGAGATCTCCCTCTGAACCACCCTCTGCTTGAAACTCTTCACATACTTTAGCTCATCTAATCCTGACTATTACATATAGGTGCTATCATTCTGTTTCACTTGGGAGAAAACTTAGAGAAGCAATGAAATCTGCCAAAGTAAGTTCCATCAAGGTTCAAAGCCAGAGCGTCGGACCCCAGATTCCATCCTCTGTCTACCACACCTTGGAAACAAAGTACTAAATTTCCACCGCAGTGGCCTGGGACGACTCCAGCTGGGGAGCCTTTGTCCCCTCAACCATCATTCCCTAGGAGAAACCTGAGCGTGGCCTGGCTTACAGGGAAGCACTCCCATTCATTGCCAAGGTGATGCCTAAGGTCTCGGCGGTGAGATGGGAAGGTAGGTTCCAGGAGAGGTGGACAAGACCCCTGCTGGCAGGGCAAAGGACAAGCGGGGCCCACTGGCCTCAGAAGTGCCATAGACCCTGAGGATTCAGCTAGATGAGGAGGCCTGCAATGAATGAGGGTCAAAATCAAGCAGTATTCTCCTCCTGGAGACCACAGGACAGAGCAGACTCACCTGGTGACTACCTGGGCTGCAGCCAAAGGCCAGAGGCTCAGGAGAACCTGAGTGACCAACGGAAAGGCTCAAGCCACTCAAGGCACCATGGGTAAAGCCCCACAGGATGGGTCAAGGTGCTTTCCAGAATGCCTGACTGACCCGGCCTAGTAGACATACTAACTAGCTGTGTGACTTTGGGTGAGTCATTTAACCATTCATGATGCCTGTCTCCCTCTATGACCTGAGCCCCATGAGAATGAGGAATAATTCTGAGTAATGTGTGGGATCAGTCCCGCCAAAAAAGTTTGGATAGATTTTTCCCAGGGTGTCCAGAGAAGCCTTTCCCAATACGTGTCGTCTTGGTATGCAGAACTAAGGTCAACCAAGGTCCTCTTGGACCTTTGTTACTATTGGTCCTCTGTTACTATTACTCAAAGGATGATGGTTACCTGGATGTAGGGGCATCACCAGAAACCACCTTTTATAAGAGAAACCTATCCGAAGGCAGGGCACACATCCAATGGTGAGACTGTCATATGAAGTCAACCCTCCTCATCAAGTGAGACCCCCTCCTCTTTCCCTGATACCTCAGGTCCCTTAGCACAAGATACAAACCCCTGGTTTGCCCCTGTTCCTTCAGAATTTAAGGTTATGAAGCTTATCCATACCTATGCTATTAAAATTGCTTTTTTCTCCTACTAATCTATCTGACATTAATCTGTTTGTTTATCCAGCCTCAGAAGCCCCCAAAGGGGTGGGGTAGGGGAATGTTCCCCTGTGCCTCTACAGCTACAATAAACATTCCCTGTTCTTTATTATATCCACCCAGCAGCCCCAAGAGGTGGACGGGCCAGGCTGCACTCCCATGTGCTGACGAGGAAAGGGAGGCTGACTGGGGAGCTGGGCACCCTGCCTGTGTCCTTGAGTGCCCCATAAGGGACAATAAAGACCATGTTTCTCATACATGATGTCACTGAGTCCTCCCCGGCAGCCCTGGGAATTACCGCTGTTGTCCCATTTTGAGGAAGATGGAGGACGAAGGCTTGGGAAATGAAGTGACCAGCCCGAGGTTACGGTCGGTAGGCGGCAGGATGTGCCCCAGCCGCGGCTGGCCTGACTCAGCTGTGTCACCGCTCTGGTCTCACAACAAGGGGGCTCTAGTCTGCTTGCTGGGCCAAGGACCCTTCAGCAGCAAGAAGGATGGAGTTGAAACCTCGGAGGTCCAGGAACTCAAACTTCCCTAGAGGATAGGAGAGGATGCACCCTGATTCTCGCCTACCCCCTATCCCTAAAGAGATGGCTGCCCAGGGCAGCACTTCCTCGCTGCATGCATGAGAGAGACAGACACAGAGACACAGAGAAAATTATTATTAAATATTTAGGACAGAAAAAAGCAAAATTAATATGAGACATGTAAAGATGGCTAAAATGGTAAATTTTATGTATTTGTATTTTACCATGATTTTTAAAAAGAATAATGAAATAAGAGGATTAAATGAGATAATATGAGGTGCTGGCACAGGGCAAATGCTCAATAGATGGGGGCATTTATTGACCTTGTCACATCATTATCATAGATTTTCAGGTTCACAAAGGAAGGCCAGGTACAGCAGCCACCTGAGAGGAACTGAGCGTGGCCTGTCCAGATGGTGGCTGTCAGCCAAGTGTGGCTCCTGGCACTGGACTCCCACTTGAGACATGTCCTATGTGTGAGACGCAAATGGGATTTCAAAGATTTAGCTCAGAGAAAAGAATGTAAAATGTCTCATGAAAAGTGTTCACACTGATGAATCACATATTGAAATGATAATGTAGGAAATGCTGGGTTACATAAACTACTATTTCAAAAAGGAAGATGTTGGGAAACAGGAATCTTTATATTTACCGGGAAACAGTGCCCACCATTCTGTTTAAGAAAGGAAATCTCAGGGTCTCCCTGATGGCGCAGGGGTTAGAGACAGCGCTATCAAGCTATTGCCAGCCACTGCAGCATGAATTCGATCCCAGGCCAGCCAGGGAGCTAATCCACATGGCCCAGCAGACCTCTCCTGTCTTGCCACTGTGCCTCTCAGCAGAGTATTTCAGTAGATCTGCCTGTTCTGCTACCCACTCTGTCTCTGGTGAATCCTTTCACCCCCCCCTCCCCAGCACCTCTGGCTCATATCCCAGTTCTTGTATGCATAAATAAATAAATTTTTAAAAATAAGAAAGGAAATCTCAGCTCAGCTGGAGCGTCCCCGAATGGTCAGATCCTACTCCCCTGCCTGCTCCCAGAAGCAGTCACTCCTGGGTTTGGGGGCTTATGGTCCATGCCTGCTTGGCATGTTCACTCAGAGTACATGTCCCCAACAGAACACAGAACCCGGAGGCCTGTCTCTAAACCTCATGGAAGCTCTGGCAAGCTGCATGTATACCTCTACCACTTTTCCCCCCATTCAACCATGTGTTTTTGAAATTTATCTTTTCTGGTAATTGCACTCCAGATCTCATATTTTCACAATAGTATCTATGGTGTAAGTTAGCCACGACGGGCTGGCCCACTTTTCTGTGGATAGGAGGTTCCCATCACTGCTGCGTGGACTTTGTTACACACGTTTCCTTATGCTCACCTGCACAGGTAAGTCCTCCACTTGAGGGTGGAATTATTAGGTGATATGGGGGTATCCACCTGCAGCTTCACTGAATGTGGCTAAATGTCCTTGGAAGCAACTGTGCCACTTTATCCTTTTATTTTCCTTTCTTATTTTGGGAGGAGGGAGCAAAACAGGCTCTATTTTTACAAAGTTGAGTTGCAAAAATTTCTTGTTTTTTTGTTTGTTTGTTTTTCTCTTGTATTCTCCCATTCAATCTTGGCTGCCAAAATCAGATAGATAGGAAGTGCGAGGACACTTTTTTCTCACATCTGTAGTAGAAACCTTGGCAGAACTGTGCCATTTTTAAAAGTTGAGGCATAATTGACATATAGCATTATGGAAGCTTAAGGTATACAGTCTGTTGATTTGACACATTTATACAACCACCAGTAGTGTTAGCTAACACCTCCACACGTCATGAAATTATCATTTCTTTTCTTTGGTGGGTGAGAACAGTTAAGATGCGACTTGCCATTTTACATGCCCACCAGTGGCATATTCTTGCCAACATTGAGGGGAGGCAGAGAAATGCAATTTGGGAACTGCCCACAGGGCTTTTCAACTATAGTGATAATGTTTATTTCTTAAACTAGGCGATATTCAAAAGTAGAATTGCTTATAAAATGCCATGAAAATGATTTCACAATATTTCAGTGAAAATGATTAACCGTCATCAACAGAAGAGCAAGTTTGATTGCTCTGGTGCCTGCTGAGAAAACTTCTGTGACCACCAGGGGGCCCTCCTGTGGACACCTGACATGCAAAGTTTGGGGGTCTGGGCCTGGTGTAATGTCTGCTCCCCACCATGCCCCAGCACCGTCTCTGGCGTGCCCCAGACTGTCCAGGTCCTGGTCCAGGCCCTCTCCACTTTATAATCAAATGCTTTCCCCTCTGCCACCCACCCCACCCAACTATTTTGCCACAATAACTCCTTTTCATCCTTCAAGATGCTAGAAAAACCTGTTTCACCTCCTGCAGGGACAATCTCCTCCCCCCATCCTGGGGCTGCATTAGATGTCCCTCAGTACACACTGGGGTCCTCCATCACAGGGTTCAGCACACTGCATACTACTCGGGGTCATTCTCTCTTTTCCCATTGAGCCCTGAGAACAAGGACCACACCATTCATCTCCATGCTCTCCAGGCCCAGTCCAGTGCTGAAAACAAGTGAGAATTATCAAGCCAAAACCTGAATGAAGTCCAACCCCCTCAGGAGGGGGAA